CACTGGGAAGAATACCTGATAGGCTAAGACTGAACAAGTCCCGGAAAATTCTGGACTAGAAATATACTTGACTGCTTTCCTTTTTTGCTTTAATTCCATGTTTAAATACTTGCTAACACCATTCAAGTACTGCTTTTTGTTCTTTTTTTTTAAAAAAATGTATACAGTAGTCTGCCTGCACACCAGAAGAGGGCACCAGATCTCATTATAAATGGTTGTGAGCCACCATGTGGTTGCTGGGAATAGAACTCAGGACCTCTGGAAGAGCAGCCAGTGCTCTTAACCTCTGAGCCATCTCTCCAGCCCCAGCTTTTTGTTCTTTAACTGAGTATTTTTAATTCATTAATATCTGCAGAAAAGGTTGTGGATTTGGGAAAACTGGAGAGGTTTATTGGTCACTGAGTGAGAATTTGGCTTCTGAGAGAAGGGAAAGCTCCCACAAAGCATAAAAGTCAGCATGTAAAGGTATTTTACATGCCACTGAACCTGATGATAAAGTTTCATGTCTGGAGCATGGTAGGAAGAGAGAGCTGACTACTACAGATTATCTTCTGATCTCAACTGGAGCACAGTGGTGTGTGTACCACCCCGTTAAGTAAATAAATGAAGACTTTGCTTTACCTCTACCTGGTTTCTGATTTAATAATTAGATGCAAAGAGTGAGCAGAAAGAAGAATCTGTGGTGCTAATAGCACAGCTAAGTCTTTATTCCTGCTAGAGACATGGGTGCGACCTGCACTTAGATGCGACCTATTCTTTGGAATTTGTCAAGAAAATCAAAGGAGGCTCATAGTTCCATGAACTTCAGCCCGCCTTAGAGTTGAGAGGAGAATGTGAAACCAAACTCCTTGGGCTGGAATTCCCCCATTGCTTTCCTTCATAAGATATGAGCTGTATCTGAAACATTTATTTAGTATGATAATTCATATAGAAAATTAGTTAAAATGTCATTTATTTAAAATGCTAATATTGGGATTAGGAAGATGTCAGGTATTTTTAAGAGCTCAGAGCTGGGCAGGTATGGGCTTCCAGGCCAGTGGATCTTGGTTTTAATTCTGTTAACTGGCATTTTCTTTCCTCTTTGAGATAGACTGAAATACAGGGTGGCCTTGAACTCTTTATCCTCCTGCATCCCCTTTCCAAGTGCTAGGATTACAGACATGTACAATCATATGCTCAATGGTGAGATTTTGAAGTAGGGTTTAGTAATAGTATCTGTTAAACAGCATGGTTGTAAAGACAACCAAACAACGCATGTCATGTTATGCCTGGCACTGGCTGAGAACTTAGTAAATGTCAGTTGCTGTTGACACCAGCTGCTCTGTAGTTGGTAGTTTTTGCCCTTTTTGGGGCCCGGCTCCCAAATAGATCACACATGGAGACTTTTTCTTACTTATAAATGCCCAGCATTAGCTAGGCTTGTTTTCAGCTAACTTTTCTTAACTTAAATTATCCTATCTTTTATTTTTGGGCTTTTGCTTTTCTCTATTTTTGTATATCTTTCATTACTTCTTACTCCGTATCTTGCTGGGTAGCTGGCCCATGATGTCCTCCTCTCTTCCTTTTTCTTGTTCCTTGATCTTGCTCTTCCCAGATTTCTCTTCCTCTTTTGTTCTCTCTACCTGCCAACCCCACCTATCCTCTCTCCTGCCTTGCTATTGGCCATTCAGCTCTTTATTAGACCAATCAGGTATGTTAGACAGGCAAAGTAACACAGCTTCACAGAGTTAAACAAACGCAGCGTAAAAGAATGCAACATATCTTTGCATCATTAATCAAATGTTCCATGGCATAAACAAATGTAACACATGTTAAAATAATATTCCACAGCATTTCCCCCTTGTTGTCTAAATAAAAATGAAAGGTTTTAACTTTAACATAGTAAAACTATACACAACAAAAACAATTATCAGGTAAGAATTACATTTACAATTGTCTGTCCATTTGTAGTTAACATATTCAGAGAAAATAATGCATTATCTATCCTATCTTAGTGAATCCAAAGGTTTTTTGGTTTTTTTTTGTTTTTTTTTTTTGAGACAGGGTTTCTCTGTGTAGCTTTGCACCTTTCCTTTCCTGGAACTCACTTTGTAGCCCAGGCTGGCCTTGAACTCACAGAGATCCGCCTGCCTCTGCCTCCCGAGTGCTGGGATTAAAGGTGTATGCTATCACTGCCCTGTGAATCCAAAGTTTTACACCTAATTTACTTTGTATCATAACTCAGGAAAGCTGCAACTACAACTATCTAGTCTTGAACTCCATCAAAGACCCAGAAGGATATAATACAACAGAGACATTTGACTTCCTGGACAGTCACCCAAAAAGTTCCTCTGCAATCATGTGGTATCCACCTTCAGCCTACAGACCCATAATATCTGGCAAACTTTTTAGTGGAGTAGGAAATTTGAAGGGCTGTTCTGCCTTGTTTTGGCAAAGTTCAGAGGTCTTTTTCCTGTGCATTCTGCATGTCCAGTCTGCACAACACATTGTCAGCAGTCAAAGGCAAGAGAAGTTTCTTTACCCAGTGGCTAACATTGCCACAATGAAACCAAACTCCACAAGGAGTTTCTTCAATGCCTATCATCTTCTCTTAAGTAAACAGGTGCTGCCAGGAGCAGATGTGTCTTACTGTGTCATGAAAAACTTTGTTAACAAAACATTTTAAATGCCATATTCTGTAGGTCTTTGAAGTATTTTAAAACCATTTATCTATCTAAAATATACTTATTTAACCTAGAAAACATACCTAATGTTACTTCAAGTTTATTATAGACTTATTACTAACCTCATTTCTTATTTATAAATTGCATTTTTAAATGAACTGCATAAACACAATACCCCAAACAAGAGTAGAAACATATATACAATGTAACAGAATTAACTTTAAATTTGTATCAATATACCAAAGTCCATGCCAATGCAAAATATCTGAGATTAATAATTGTGTTTTTATCCTGTATTCCTATATTTCCCTAAATATAACAAACATCCACGACCCACTAATTAACCAAAAGCCTCCCACACCCTTCTTGGGAATGTAGGCATTGTGTTCTCCAAACTACTTCCTGCTGTCTGTGGATGAAGTATCTTTAGGGTCCCTGAGAAATTTTTGAGATAATGGCCATATCCTGGGAAGACCAGCAGTAATCTTTGCTGATAGATGTCACCTGTGAAGGTCAAGACATCTCCCTTGATCAAACCTGATCCATCTCATTCCTGAAGGAATCCACAGTCTCTCATCTCCTGTCTCCTGTGGGAACAGAACTTGAAAGCATTTTGATTTCCATTTGACAAATAATTTTTTGACTAATCTTTTAAAGTTAAGACATTCCTAAAGTGTATAGGCTGGTTTATTTCATCAGTTCTTCTTTCAATTCCAGGTCTCTTAGCAGGTGTTGTTTGCTTCTCAACAACCAAAAAATTCAAAAGCAATACAATAACATACAGGATCCAGACTCCCTGTGTATTTCCCATCTCTACGTGGCTTATTCTCTTTTATCATTTTCTTCTCTCTTTAAAGACTTTATTATATTTAAACTATTTCTATGACTGGCCATACCTCTTTTCTTTCTTTCTTAAGCCTGTGCACATTGTAAAACACACTGGAACCTGTTTAGAGGTTTATTCCATCTAGACCTCTTTTGCCATGTATCTTTTAGCCTTTTTTGATGACAGGAGCAAACTTTAGACTGCTAAGCTACACCCGGATCCTCTGAGCAGCTCTCATGGCTGGCTCTGCCCACCTCAGGTTTGTGAAAGCCAAGCCTAAAACTCGCAGCCAGGTTGGAGGTGTGTGACCAGGAACTGCATTCAACTTTCCTAGCTGTAGAAAGCCGGTATTGCCACAGTGGTTTTTACTTAGCTTGCCATTTTTATTTAGTGCTGTCCTGCTGACTGAACAGCAGCACCTCCTAAAAGAGCCGTGTCCTTCCTTCCTATCTATCTATCTATCTATCTATCTATCTATCTATCTATCTATCTATCTATTTATTTAAGCTTTCTCTTCTCAAGCCCTTTGGAAATTCAAGAGCCCCATGTTGGTACACCAAAATGTTGTTGGTTAGTTTTTGCTCTTTGGCTCTTGGGGGACCTGCCACCCAGCTCCCAAACAAATCACACGTGGATGCTTATTCTTAATTATAAATGCCTGGTCTTAGCTTGGCTTGTTTCTTGCCAACTTTTCTTAACTTAAATTATCCCAGCTACCTTTTGTCTCTGGGCTTTTTCCTTTTCTTCTGTATATCTTACTTTCATTCTTACTCCATGGCTGGATGGGTGGCCCCTAGCATCCTCCTCTCCTTGTTCTCTTGCTCCTTCTTTTTTCTTCCCAGATTTCTCCTTCTGTTTATTCTCTCTGCCTGCCAGCCCTGCCTGTCCTTTCTTCTGCCTTGCTATTGGCTGTCCAGCTCTTTATTAGACCATTAGGTGTTTTAGACAGGCAAAGTAACACAGCTTCACAGAGTTAAATAAAATGCAACATAAAAGAATATAACACATCTTTGTATTACTAAATAAATATTCCACGGTATAAGCAAATATAACACATCTTAAAATAATATTCCAAAACACTGCTCTACTGCCATTGTTTTATATGTGAGAGGTAAGGCAAAAAGAAACTCTAGACTAGTAGTTCTCAACTTTCCTAATCTGTGATCTTTAATACAGTTCCTCATGTTGTGGTGACCCCCAACCATAAAATTATTTTTGTTGCTATTTCATAACTGTAACTTTACTACTGTAATGTAAACATCTGTGTTTTCTGATGGTCTTGGGTGACCCCTGTGAAAGGGTCCTTTGACCTCATAAGTTGAGAAATGCTGCTCTAGACAACTGTCCAAAATCATTCTTGAGTACTAAAAACCCATTTTGTAACTTCTAAGATGTTTGTGATAAACATTTGAAAAAAAAAACAACTAATGGATAGTTTTTTCATTTATTATTACTAGAAAGTGAATATTTTCAGAGTAATTTCTCCAATAACATATTTTGTTTTCTTGTAGGATCTGGAGTTTCATGGAGTCATGAGATTTTATTTTCAAGATAAAGCTGCTGGAAACTTCGCAACAAAATGCATTCGGGTATCTAGCACAGCAACCACTCAAGATGTGATTGAAACACTGGCAGAGAAGTTCCGCCCTGACATGCGCATGCTGTCCTCTCCAAAGTATTCCCTCTATGAAGTGCATGTCAGTGGAGGTCAGTGGAGGCTGTGTCCTGACCTGGGTCAATAGTTGTTCAGTGTGATGATCAGGTCCCAAGGTTACTGCTTATCTCCTTTTCTTTCATTCCCACACTCAACAGATGATAGGATGGCAAACTTTTTTTTAAGTCTGAGAAATGTTCAAGTTCTTGCACATAACATTTATGAGAAATTATGATAAATGTATTTTATGTATGATTGTTTCTTTAAAATAAATACCATTAGCATTTTATTAAAAAATTTACCCAACATATCTGAGTGTCTTGTATATCAATGGTATTGTGTGCTACATGCTTTTGTAGGAAATCTCAGGGATGGATGATAATGTCCTGATTACTTATAACCCAGTTAAATATTGTGTAGGTCAAGTCAGTGATCTTGCCATCATATTTTTGCATTCTGTTAACAGCACATTTTTATTATTCTTTGGGAACAATAGGACATCTTGAGGAAAATCTCCTTTTATATTTTGTAATTTCTACTTCTTTTAATGTTAGCAGTTGTTGTGAGAGACTATTACTGGGGAGACATGAACAAATATTTACTTACCCCAGATAGAGAATCAGCAACAGACCAAAGTCCAGCCTGATGAACCACTGAATTTTTGTGAGGGTTACTTAGAGGAATATGAGTGAGGAGGCACATGTCATGGTGTGTGTGTGTGTGTGTGTGTGTGTGTGTGTGTGTGTGTGTGTGTAGATTGGAGGACAATTTCACTGACGGGAAGGCTAGTGCATCCGTCACTTGAGACAGGTGATGGGTCTATTGCCATTTCTTGATAAGGAAAATCTGAATCAATGGAGCTGTATGTACCATTAACATGATTTCCTTATTTTCTAGTTGCATATGGGATAGTTTGATATATAGAAATATGCATCTCTTTAGTTTTCTCAATTAGATCAGAATAAAGGAAGTGTTTTTTCCTGGTCATTGTGTAGCACTGGATCTGTGGTGAGAAACACACTCACTAGCAAGAAAATATCCAACTAATTAAAACCGATTTAACATTCTTAACAATACATTTCACCTGGTCAGTGTCTAGCGTGGTAGAACAGTAGCAACAAGGTGCTGGACTAATTAAAACTGATACAAAATTATAAACAGTACATTTCAACCTATCAGCAAGTAGAGGGACTAAAGTACTTTATGTGCATAAATTAAATGTATCTCATATGGCAGATACTGTGCTCATGCCATGAAATGACCACTGCTTGTTCTTCTTTTCCATTCATGTTTTGAAGAAGAAAGAAGATTAGACATTGATGAGAAACCTCTAGTTGTGCAGTTGAATTGGAACAAAGATGATCGGGAAGGGAGATTCGTCCTTAAGAATGAGAACGACGCCATTCCTGCCAAGGTGGGAGCAGTCCCTGTGTCTGATGCCAGCTGCAGTCTAGGGCTGGGTCAGCAGCATGGACAAGGGTTATGTTCTGCCGTGGGATGTAGCTAGAGTTTTCCTGCCTGGCCCACAGTCAGGATAAATCTCTGCCACCCGCCAGTCCCACAACCGCTCAGACCCGACCAAGTAAACACAGAGACTTATATTGCTTACAAACTGTATGGCCGTGGCAGGCTTCTTGCTAACTGTTCTTACAGCTTAAATTAATCCATTTCTATTAATCTATACCTTGCCATGTGGCTTGTGGCTTACCGGTACTTTACATCTTCCTTGTCCTGATGGCGGCTGGCAGTGTCTCCCCCACCCAGCTTCCTGTTCTCTCAATTCTCCTCTCTGTTAGTCCCGCCTATACTTCCTGCCTGGCCACTGACCAATTAGTGATCTATTCATTGACCAATCAGCAACACATTTGACATACAGACCATCCCACAGCAGTGGGAGCTTCTCTCCACTCCTCTTCCTGGAGCCCTTTACCTCCTCGACCACACTAGAGAAGCAGCCTCTTCTGCCTGTTTCGTCGTCATTGTCCCTCACTGTTCCAGAGGAGTTCTGTGTGCTTTTGAGAAAAGCTGATGACCAGCTTGTCATCTTCAGCTTTCTTCCAAATTAAAGAATCAAAATTGTTCTGTAGGAAGTAAAAGGGACAAGGGCAATGTTGGGTGCCTTCTGAGATATGCAACTTCCTAAGGCATATTTAAAGCATTTTCATATACTACATATTTAAGATTAGGAGTCGGGAAACTTCCTTGGGTGGTGTAATAGACTGTCTCAGTTGCTTTTCTGTTGCTGAGATAAGATACCCTGACAGAAGCAACTTAAAGGAGAAAGGGCTTGCTTTGACCCAGTTGGATGCGGCAGTCCTGGAGGCAGGAGCTGGGCACAGCTGATCATACGCCATGGATATAATTTGAAAGTGTGTAGTTCTGGGCTGAATTGAGTGGCATCTTATGTAATATTTTGGTATTAACAAGTAACAAATACAGAGGTTGAAATTATCTTCTAAATTTTCCTCTTATGAAAACACTATTACTGTATAACAGCAAGGATTTTCTGTGTCCATGTAGTGTGCTATCCTGGATGGCTACACAGATGTGCTTTTGGCTTTCCTTGTCACTGGGTTCTGGTGGCTAGCTTCATTGGTGGCACATGTGTGTAAAGTAGAATGGGTCCCATGGCTTTGCTGTTCATGCTTTATACCCTGATTTCAGCTTGGCCACTGATCCTTACTGGCATGTAATACAGTGTCATAAGTGTCTATGAATGAAATGGGGTAATAATAATAGTGTTCTTTTTTTACTCACCTTTTAATGAAGTAGATTTTTCCCTTCCTCCATACCATAACTATTATTTTTCTTCTTTACGTAGTAAACTACTTAAAAACAATGTAGCTTTGTATGTTAACAGACGAGATTGTAGGTTGAAAATTCAAATTAAGATAAGCAGCTAATAAACAAGATATGGAAAATAAATCAGACATTTTTCAAAAATAGGTATAACTTTGGTTCATGAAAACCAGCTTATAGATAGCTACTGCTAATATATTTCTTTGCAGTTGTAGAAAATACCTATTCAGTAGACTTTTTCCCTCCATATTTTCACTAGATTCCTTACTGTGAATCTATAATCCTTCTCTGACCAGGAGAGATTTTTAAACTGCTAAACTGCATTTTTAGGACTGAAGCGGCTGCCTTGACTGCTGACTCTGCCCACGTCAGCTTTCCAACATGGTGGAGGTAATTCACCTCCAGCTCTGGGCCATGTGTACCACTAACTCTTGGAAGCAGTGGGTCTATGCCTCTATTAAAGCAACGTATAGCCCAGAAACCTTTCTTTTTCTTTTCTTTTTTTTTTTTTTTTTTGTGCTAGCAAAAGCTATATCCACCATGCACCATGTTGCACAGCTTGCAGAAACCTCTGTGTAACTTGGAGGGAATCCACCACTGTAACTCTAGCCTGCATGCTGCGAACCTACCAAAGCTAGGTACATCATTGTACCTAGGCCCGCCATGAGTGACATGAACTAGGAAGGTGCTCTTAGCTACATTTATAATCTCTTCTTAAGCTCTCTCAGGTTTTATGTGGAAACTCTTGCCACCAGGTGTGGGTGCCATTTGTAGCTGAAAGTTTTCCTGTGTCCCGCCTGGCCTGTGGTCAGGACAAAACTCTCTCACCAGACAAATCTCTCCAGCAGCTGCTCGGACCCAAATAAATACACACAGGCTAATATTATTTTTAAACTATGGCCATGGCAGGCTTCTTGCTATCTAGTTCTTATATCTTAAATTAGCCCATTTCTATAAATCTATACTTTGCCACGTGGCTTGTGGCTTACCAGTACTTTTACATCTTGCTTCTCATGGCATAGGCCAAACGGCTTTATTACCAATCAATCAGAGCAACATATATTCAAGCGTACAGAAAGACATTCCCATCAGATTCCTTCTCTCAGGTTACTTTATGATAACTTTTTTTGGTTTTACTTAATTAAAAGTCAGATTTCCTGATTTATACCCTATTTTCTTTCTTTCCTTTTTTTTTTTTTTTTTTTTTTAAAGATTTATTTATTATGTATACAGTGTTCTGTCTGCACATATCCCTGCAGGCCAGAAGAGGGCACCAGATCTCATTACAGATGGTTGTGAGCCACCATGTGGTTGCTGGGAATTGAACTCAGGACCTCTGGAAGAACAGCCAGTGCTCCTAACCGCTGAGCCATCTCTCCAGCCCTCCTTTTTTTTTTTTTTTAATTGCACCTTACTTTTTATGTGAATTTGGATTTTTGTTTTCTTATTAGTCTAAAGTTGAGATGAAATTTATTTATGGTGAAATGAATACATCTTAAGTGTACAGTTCCCTTGGTTGTGACAGATTTTACAGTGTCACTGTCAGCTTAGTCAGGTGGCAGCGTGCTCTCCACCTCTTACTGTGTGAGTTTGTTGACTTTTCTGACTCGTGGGGTGCAGGAAGCAGCAGAGCCTGAGGAGCCGGGTGTGGTTCCGGGTGGTGGTCGGTGTGCTGATGCTGTTACTTTTACCAGAAGGCTCAGAGTAATGGACCCGAGAAGCAGGACAAAGAAGGCGTTATTCAGAACTTCAAAAGAACTCTCTCAAAGAAAGAAAAGAAGGAAAAAAAGAAGAGAGAAAAAGAGGCGTTGAGACAAACCTCTGATAAGGAAGAAAGGCCTTCTCAAGGGGATGACAGGTAGGTCTTTCTGGAAGTATTTGTGTCACTGTGGGTGTGTATAATACAGCTGACTTGACTCAATTATGGGTAAACGAGGGCAAAGCTGAGTGAGGCTGCCAGGCTTGTTTCAGAACGTCAGGTCCTTCTGTGTGTAGCAGGTGCCCATCTCAAGTGCAGAAGAACACTTACTCTAGGCAAACACTAGTTAACAGTGTTTTTCCTGAGCAGACCACCAAGTTCAGTTGTCCCTATGTCTCCAGCCAGTCCTTTGAGACTCTCTTCTGTGGTTTTGGTCCCAGAGGCAACTGTGGTTCCATATTTAGCTCATAAAAGCTGGCCAGAGTTGGCAGGACTAGGGAGCTGAGCAGATTTTCCTTTCTGAATTCAGATGCACCTTGGACGTTGCTATTGTATCTCAAAAGCCTGGTTGTAGGTGTAGCCTCTTAGGAGGTGACGCCTGTGTTGCTGCTTATAAATAGTATTGAGTAGGTTTATTTAGTGTAGTTATGCAAGAGAAAAAAGGTGCGTGGATATACTGCTCCTATATGTAAAGCATCCTAGTAAAGGAGAGTTTAAATATGACACTGTGTGGCTTGTTCTTTCATTGGTTTACTTTATGAGAGGTACATTATTTAATTTAGAAAATGAACTATTTCAGATGAATTAAATCATTTAACTGATAGCTTAAAGTGTGACTTATTTTGATATTATTTTATGATTACACATTGATTACAATTATGTTATTGTTAAAATTAGTCAAGTATTTAGGGTTTTTTTTTTTTTTATCAGACCTTATATTCAATTTCTGCCCATCACTTTGTACAGTTGATTCCTTTGCAGAAACTGTTGGAGCAGTATCCCTATGAAAGTTTAACTTCAGGAAAATAAATGCTGGTGAAACTTTTAGGTGTTAGAAACAGTCACGCAGCTGGGTGGTGGTGGTGCACTGATGGTGCATGCCTTTAATCCCATCCTCCCTCAGGAGGCAGAGGCCAGCCTGGTCTACAAAGTTTCAGGAGTTTCAGGACAGCCAGAGCTACACAAAGAAATCCTGTCTCCAACCCCTCCCCCCCAGAATACCCACAAAACAACAACAACCAACTCCCACCCCCAAAACCGTCATGCTATTTAATTTAGATCCTTCAAGATTTACTATAATTTTAAGTAAGGTTCTTCAGTACTGGTTCTTATATCTAGAATGTTGTGCTGTAATGTCATTTGCTGTGTTTTAGCATAATGCTGCTAGAAACCGAAACTTAAATTCTATACATCTTTATTTTTGCCTTGTTCCTTTGTACATGACAGTTGAGTTGTAAACTTGCAAAATTTGATTACACATTTCTTAGTCTATTAGTTTGTATTTGAGAGAAACTGTGTGTGGTTTGTTTTGTTTGGTTTTGTTGTTTTGAGACAGTTTCTCTGTGTAGCTTTAGCTATCCTAGAACTCACTCTGTAGACCTGGGTGGTTTCAAACTCGCAGAAATCTGCTTGCCTTTGCCTCCCAAGTGCTGAGATTAAAGGTGTGTGCCACCACCACCTTGCTGAGAAGCTCTGTGTGTGTGTGTGTGTGTGTGTGTGTGTGTGTGTGTGTGTGTGTGTGTGTGTATTTTTTGGTTTTTGAGACGGGGTTTCTCTGTGTAGCTTTGGTCCTGTCCTAGAAACTTTCTCTGTAGACCAGGCTGACCTTGAACTCACAGAGATCCGCCAATCTCTACCTTCCAAGTGCTGAGATTAAAGGCATGCGCCACCACCGCCCAGCGCATGAGAAACTGTAATTTTAATCTCATTGTAATTAGCACATGGTAACTAGAAACATCAGACCTGTAAGGGGACAGATGTAGACAGATGACATTTGCCATTGTGATATTTATATTTCTAAGAGGAAAAAAAGTTTAAAATATTGTTGGTGATCTTTTTTCTTACAGTGAGAATTCTCGACTGGCTGCTGAAGTTTACAAAGACATGCCTGAAACCAGCTTTACTCGAACAATTTCTAATCCTGAGGTAGTTATGAAACGGCGGCGGCAGCAAAAGCTTGAAAAGAGAATGCAGGAGTTTCGGAGCTCAGATGGGCGGCCTGACTCGGGTACAGAGAGAGTCGTTTTTCTTCATGTTCATTGTGAAATGTATTCAGTTTTTCTTTTTATAAATGTATTTCTGAAACTAAAAAAGGTGAAGTAGCAGATGTGTCCCATGTATGTCTTACATAGAATTCTTTTCACTTAGAGAAAGTGTTAGTCACATATACTTACCAGCATGGCTTTTCTCCCCCACCCCCTCCAACCCAGAAAATGTTAAACATATCCAAAATATAAGAATTTTGAAAATAATTAACTCATATTCTTCTCTTTCACTATGTATTGCCCTCTAAGTCCCAAACTACTATTTTGAAACATATTGCACACTTACTAGTTCATCTATAAGTATTTTAGTATATTTTCATGAAGGGTGAAGATTTATAATAAAATACAACTCCAGTACCACTATCACATAGAGAATAACAGTTATTCCTGTAATTGCTAAAACTTTCCTGATTGCTTTTGATATTTTCTTTTACACACACACACACACACACACACACACACACACACACTCTGTCAAAAGATTGAGTCACATATTTTCAAGTCTGTCATTCTAGAATTCCTTTTTAGTTTACTTTGGTTTTTTTGGTTTGTTACAAACTTAGGTATGCTGGTTGGCTTCTGTCAACTTGACACAAACCTGGACATATCTGGGAAGAGGGAATCTTAGTTGAGAAAATGCCTCCATAAGATTGGCCTGTAGGGGAGTCTGTGGGGTATTTGTCTTGATTAATGATTGATGTGGGAGGACCTAGCTTGCTGGTGGGATGTCCCCACTGGGCTGGTGGTCCTGGGTTATATAAGAAAGCAGGTTGAGCAAGCCATAAGGAGCAAGCCAGTAAGCAGTTATCCTCCATAGTCTCTGCTTTGGTTTTGTTCTTGAGTTCCTGCCATGACTTCCCTTCAGCAGTTGATGGACAGTTGTACCTGATAGAAACCCTTCCTCCCCAAGCTGCTTTCCTATGGTCTTGATCGCAGCAATAGAAACCCTAACTAACACACTAGGTTTTTTGTCTTGTAGATTTTGGTGATATCCTTTGCCACTCATTACTGTTTTCCCTTCTATTTTTTGTTTCCTTGATTAGGATGTAGTTGCAGGTGCAGTTGAAGCTGTTAGTGTGGCCAGAATATTTACTTTAGTGTCCTCTAAAGTTGACAGGCGATGATTGAAACTTTCTCATAAATTCAGGTTTAAGATTCCCCCTCAGTTTGGAGTCCACTGCATCTGTTTTCTTTCTGTTTATGAGATTCATACTTGGAGCCAGTTGGTGTCTGTGGTTTCAGCTGGCTTTTTTTCATGGGGAGGTATCTCTTCCTTTGCCTTGGAGATACTTCTCCAGTGGTCCTTCTTCCTTTAAACCGTTGTGATTTTAGAGAACTGGAATGCCTTCTGCAATTACATTCTTGCTTGCCAATGATCTTAATAAATAATAATAGTGTTAAAATAAAAATAAGTTTAGTGTTCGGGTGTGGTAGCCCCTTCCTTTGATCCCAGTAGAGGCATGTGGATTTCTGTGAGTTCAATGCCAGCTTGGTCTACAAAGCAAATTCCAGGCCAGTCAGGGCTATGTAGTAAGACCCTGCCTGTCTTTTTCTTTTCTTTTTTTTAAAGGATTAGCAGTATGATCCTGAAAATATTTTAAGAGTTTTGTGAAATTGTGTATATGTATGTATATGTGTTTACTTCCAAAGACATAAGACAGATTGTTGTTTTAACACATTGTTAATTCCTATTTATATGGCAACATTCTGTGTTGGTTTATACTTGGGCTTCTTTCCTTTCCTTTTCTTTTTCTCTCCTTTTTTCTTTCCTTTGGGGGGGGTGGGGGCTCCTGGACAGGGTTTTTTTGTGTAGCCCTGGCTGTTCTGGAACTCAATCTGTAGACCAGGCTGCCTTGAACTCACAGAGATCCCCTGCCTCTGCCTCCTGAGTGCTGGAATTAAAGGCGTGCGCCGGCACTGCCCAGCTGTTTTCTCTAGAGTTTTGCCACTATACAAATAAAATACATTTAGAGGAATGTGGCTTCTGTTGCCGTACATGGCAGTGCCCACTGTAGCACAGGGTTTTCCTGCCTTGTTTCCTCCATCGTATCTTGCAGTTGCTTAGTGTTTCTGTAGGAAGTAGATAGGATAAAAAGAGTTGAAATAGTTGAACTATATATTAGCTCTATATATTTTTGAATAAAACTTTGACTTAACTAACTGGAAATTGTATCTAGCAAAGAAAATACTTGTTATAAAGTAATAATTCATTATAAAGTAGTTTCACTTTAAAAAAAATATTAGGATAAGCATTTTGAGTTTCAGAAAGAACTATATTAGAGGGCTTTATCATTAATCTCACCTTAGCCCTCCCAAAGTTTAGTCTGATGTCATCCCCTGTATTTCTTTTGTAGCATTACCTTCCAGTGCTTGGTACTTGAGCACTACAGTGCTATTCAGAATACTGCAGAGCTATCTTATTGGTAGTGGGGAGACTCTGATGATAGGATGTATAGAGTTTCTTTACAGACTTCTTAACATTAACTTCTGTTGAGAAAAATCACTTCATTCTGGACTTTTTCTTTCAAACCCAAGTCTGAATGAAAGGATTTTCCTGCCTCTCCAGGCTGTTGTCACAGCAGTCGTCTACTATATGTGCAGTAGCAGTTTCTGTTCAGAAGAGACAGCTTCATGCCTGTGTTCAGAGACAGTACCGTTGTCTGTTTTCTTATCAGTCCTTTCGGCTTTATTCAGGGGGCAGGCTCCATGGACTACGTCCTACAATGCAAGGTCACCTGCTTCTGCCCCATGACTGTATAGTATGACTGCAAGGTTTCACTACCCAGAGCTGTGGAAGAAAGTAGGCCCTGTAGCTCTCTTGCTGCCTTAGCATTGTATACTTATTTCAGCCGTCAGTACCTTGAAACTGAATCTTAATTGGATACTTATAGGAATTATAATAGTGTTAATGATTATAGAAGAAAAAACAAAAACTTAAGCCGGTTATGGGAGTGCATACCTATAAGCCTCGCAGTATCCTAGTTACTTCCTTATTGCTGTGAGAAAATGCCTCCATGAAAGCACCTTGAAGGGTCTGCAGTCTGCTGTGGTGAGGAGCACATGGCAGCGTCAGGATTGCATGATCGGCAGCCTGACTGGTCCTGTTGCATCTGCGCTTAGAAAGCAAAGAATGAACAGAAAGTGGGGCTGGGCTAGGAAGTCTCAAAGTTTCCCCAGTGACAGTTTCCTCCAGTGAGAGTCCACTTTCCTAAAGGTTCAGCAACATTGCCAAACAGCACTGTCAGCCAGCTGGTGACCAAATGTCCAAACACCTGGGACATTTCACATTCAAATCACAACAGAGGCTGACACAGTTTTGGGTCAGCTTAGGCTACATATTAAGATCTGCTCAGAAACAAACACAAAATTGAGGAGAACAAGGGGCTTCTTTGTTTCATAATTATTCTGGCAAGGTACTTTTGAGATGCAAAGGACTTTGTTTAAATGTATAGTCTTGTTCTGTCATGCACCAAAATGTATGTACAGAAAAAGGAAAAAGTATTTAGAAAGAGCTGGGTGGTATTGCACACCTTTAATCCCAGCACACAAGAGGTAAAGGCAGGTAGATCTCTGAGTTCAAGGGTAGCCTAGTCTACAGATCAAATTCCAGGACAGTCAGGGATACACAGAGAAACTCTGTCTCGGAAAAACTAAGCAAAAAAAAAAAAAAGATTTAGAGAGGCAGAGAAAAACAAGGAAGAATACTGGTAACAAAAGGAACATGAGAGATACTTATACATGCTAACTACATACCAAGCCTGAAGGAAGGAGTTTAACGTTGTTGCTTAAATGAACTTTGGAAAATGAAACCATAGTTCCACCTGAGGACTATTCAAAAGTGTGTGAGTCACGAAAGAGACAAGTGACTGAGATGGCAGCTTTGAAGTCACTGGATAAAACATTCTTAGTGACAAAGTGACTTGAATACAACACTGATGTTTTCAAGAAGAGAGTAAGCTATTGCATGTCAGATGGCCTGTGCCCCTTATTTATTTTCTGTAGTCATTGGTAGCACTTTGATGGAAAAATTCTTTATATTTTGTTAATAAGGTTGGGATGTGGCAACTTTTCTATTTAGCCTCAGCTTCAGATTTGGAGAAATTACCATGGAAGCAAAGTGTAGGATGGTTGTGAGGAAACTGTCCTAAAACACAGCACAATCATGGAGGTACTACATTGCCCAATGCGGTATAGACGTCTGACCTCCTAGCCCAGATTGAAAAGCCATAAAGAGAAAGCTGAAGAATACTGAGAGGTAGGAAGATATTTCAGGATCTATAATAGAGTAGCTTTTACTGAAAATAAACTTGGATAGATTCTGATTGGCTCTAGAATGAATAGAGGTTTGGGTGGAAGATGGGTTTCATTTAAGTGTGTCCTATGAAGTACTGACAAGTTTTACAATGTCTTTAGTCTGGTGACTCAGTGACTAGATGGGTCACTGCTGAGCAGTGTCACACAGGAATGGGACACAGGAGTGATCTGTGTGGTAGGGAGGTATCACCACCATGTGTGGCAAAGTCATTGGGCAGAAGTATGTCAGACAAAGACTTACAGTCATTGTTAAGAGAAGCCAACCAGCATTGTGGTGTGTACTTACATTCTCAGTTTCAGGAGACTAAAGCAGGAGGGTTGTTTGTTTGAGGCCAGTCTAGCTACATAATTAGACTGTATCTCAAAAATAAAACAAAAACTGATCTTTGCTAAGAACAGTTACTTTGTTATAAGGTTGCAAATAGTGAAGAAAATAGTCTATTAAAGATTCAAGTATTTGAACTAAGCATGTAACTTAGTATTAGTACTTCCTCTAGTGTGTATAAGTCCAAAAAATACATTGGTTCAAGAAGTTTTTCCAGCACAGTGGCTCATGCCTATAATTCCAGCACCTGGAAGCTTTGAGATTTGCCACAAATTGGAGGTCAGCCTGGGCTACAGACTGAGTTCCAGGCTAGTCTGGGCTACAGACTATGACCACATCTCAGAGCAAAACAACAGAAAGAGAATGAGCAAAGGAAAAACAAAAAATCAAAACAAAACAAAAAACCCTGGTATAAGGAAGAGAAAGCAGAAAATCAAAGCAGAACTTACCTATCAAAGAAATGGTTGCAATCAGACTATTTTAATATATATCACCCAAGAATCTCTAGTAAACTCAATATTAGGAAAGTAGCAGTTTACTAAAGAAGTCAATAATTCAATATTTTTGTCAGCTTTTTAAAGAAAGGTTTATAATAGTTTGTGTGTATATTCGTGCAAGTGTGTGCTGCTGCCTAGAGGCCAAAAGAGGGAGTTGAGGGTCTCCAGAGCTGTGAGCTGCCATGTGCAGCTGGGAGATGAACGTGGGTCTTCTAAAATAGCAGCAAGAGCTCTTAACCACTGAGCCGTTCCTCCTGCCCTGATTTTGTCTGTTTTAATAAATCTCTGAGAAAAGTGTACCCTGATAGCTAACCTACTATGGCTGTGTGCTAGTCTTTGAGCCTGGAGACAGAGCGTGCAGTACTACCACTTCTCTGAGCATGGTGATAGAGGCTGTAACTTTTCTAGGACTTGCCCCCAGAGTTTTAATGATGCAACTTTCATATCCTCAGCTGTGTTTTGGAAGCTGGTGAGGCATCCAGGATCACACAGGCTTTGCTCCTGAACTTGTAAAGCATTTTAAAAAACTTTAAAACAAGAGGTATATTCACATTCTATGATGTCTTCAAAGTGTAGCTAATCCAAAAAGTGCCTAATGTATTTCATTTAGTTGAGTTGATTTTTAAATTACAATTTCCTTGCTGAATTTCTCTTGTGTTGCTAATTCTCTATTGTTTTAAATTTTACTTACTTGATTTTGTAGATGCACACATGAGTGCAAGTACACACATGCACAAGTGTACACGTGTGAAGATCAGAAGACAGTTCTCTAAATTGTTTCTCTCCTGCTACCTTGGGATTGAACTTGAACGAGGTCATTAGGTTTGCAAGTGTCTCTACCTCTGAGCCATCTCACCAGCCTATGACACTCTCAGTGTTTTATATTGCTGTCTTTGTCTCCTATATCCTGAATTGATTTCCTTCCTTCCTTCATCTATTTGTTTGTTTCCTCTTGAAATTATTGATCATTTTTACAAGTAGACCTTTGATGTCCAGTATTTCAATCATTTCTTTATCTTCAGGTTTAGTTATTAAGGAGTTAGCAGGGTTTTGTAGGCATTGTATTTTTCTACTTTTCTGTATTTCTTGTGTTTCTGTTCTGCAGTTTGCAAATACATTGCCTTGGTTCAGGGATTCTTCTTTCTTATTCTGTTGCTGTTGTTAAGACAGGGTCTCACTGTGTAGCTCTGGCTGTCCTGGAACTTATTATGTAGACCAAGATGGCCTTGAACTCACAGATCCATCTGCCTCTGCCTCCTGCGTGCTGGGAGTTAAGGCTTGTGTCTTAACTTCACCACACCTGGCTTCGTTCAGGGTTTCTTAATCTTGAGTTATTAATAGAAAAGAGATTATGAGAGTCAAATTACAATGAAGTGGCATATGTATATTTCAACTAAGAAGGGAACAACATACAAACAAGCGCACACCTGAGGAGGTCCCAATCACCCTTCCTGTTTCCAGGTCCCTAGATGACTTTATACCCACATACAACGTTTAGTTTGTAGTGCCTAGGATTGAAATAGCCCCACCATGGTGGCATATCCCTCATGGAAGTCTTTGGACTTGAGTACCTGAGGTCTTCTTGTTCCTAGGTCACTTTTAAAATATTGGTTTGTTTAGTGGAACTAATACTTTGCTTCAGATGAAAGTTTAAAAAGTAGAAGTGGAGGAAATAGGTCTTGTAGTGTACAGGTGGTTGAGCAAGTTGAGAGCAGGGGAAGGTGGGGGCAGTAGAAGAGAACTGTACCAAAGACAGACTCTGGAACCCTTCCTTCCCATTTCCCTGTAGTAGAAGCCAGCCTCAGGTTGATAGTGAATGTATTTGTACCACTGCAGTTGATGTTTCAGTGCCTTTTCATTAAGTGATTGGGGACTTAAAATAAAGATGAACTCAAAGATGTAAAAAAAATGTTTTCCAGGTGGGACGTTGAGAATATATGCAGACAGTTTAAAACCCAATATTCCATACAAGACAATCCTGCTGTCTACTACAGATTCTGCAGACTTTGCTGTAGCGGAGTCTTTGGAGAAGTATGGTCTGGAAAAAGAGAATCCCAAGGACTACTGCATTGCCCGGGTATGAACTGTGATTATTCATGCTAAGACTTTGCATTTAAAGGAAATTCTTTTTTAATTTGTGTGTGTGTGTGTGTGTGTTTTCACTCACATACATGACCCCCCTCCACTTACATACACATACAGGAATAATAAATGTAATAAAAAGTAATATATGTTCTTTATAAAAAAAGATAAATTAAATAAAACATAGCCCAAAGTTCTACCAAAAGATAAGCTCATCATTAATGTTTTGATAGATATTCTTACAATTTTTATTTTGTGTATATATTATATGAGTCAGAGTTATAGAGGAGTATAACCAATTTATTTATGTATAATTATAATATATAAATAAAATAGTCTCACAGTGCTTGCTGCATGCTGGAGATTCAGAGAACCTGGTGGCTGTTCAGTCCAAGATGTGGGGCTCTGTATATGTATAGGGTCCAGTTTGAAGGTGAAGATCTGACAGCTCCCTGGGGAGTCACTGCTCTGATCTCTGTTGAAAGACTGGAGGAAGCTGGGACGGCATGTCCACAGGCCATGGCTGCAGTGATAGAAGCTTGTATCCACAAAGAGTGAGGCTTGTGTGTGGCGTTTGCCTTCTTCCTCTTCCCTTTGGTTTCATCTGAGCCCCCAGCCTGTTGGCACCACATTCAGGGTTGATCTTCCCTTCAGTCGGTAGGTCGGCCAGCGGTGAAAATGCACTTACAGCATACTCAGCGGTGTGCTTTCCTAATCTCTGAATCCCTTGTAGTTGACATTGTAGTTCAGGATCAGCCATCAGAGGTAACATAATTGTGTTTATATTAAAATCTGATTTAATAATCACCTGCAACTTCTCAGAGGTACTTTACCTATCTGTGACTCTAGTTATCAAGGAATATAGTAATTGTTTATATCCTAGAATTGATTTTGTAACATTAAATAAAACACAGCAGACTTTCTATTTAGCCATAAACTAGTTAGAAATCCTTAGCCTCTGAGTCAGTTTCAACTGTCTACTTATTTACTGCAGTATTTGTCCAGTTAAACTGACAGTAGTTTGTGTTTTGCTTTGTAAGGAAGGGTTAATTTTGGCTTGTGTTTGAGGGTGCAGTTCATTGTGGTAGGAATGCATGGCAGCCAGAATATGAGGCAGCTGCTCATATTTTATCCACAGTCAAGAAACCAAGATAGCTCTATGTTCTGTTACAGCAAGTGATTTAAAAAGGAGGTGTGTGTGTGTGCGCGCGCGCGCATGCACATGCAAGAGTGGAAGCCTGATTGATGTTTGGTTTGTTACTTTCTACTTCTATTTTTTGAGCAGTCTCTCTCTTAACTGAACCTGGACCTCAGTGTCTTGGCTAGGCTGGCCTGTGGGCTTCAGGATGCTCCTGTGTCCTTTGCCCCACGCACTGAGGTTATAGACATGTGCTGTCATGCCTGTTTATTTAGGTTTTTTTAAAAATATTTTTATTCTTTAAGTATTTCTTGAATGCATATAATGTAGTTTAATCATGTTCACCTCCCCATGCCTACTCACTCTTCTAACTCCTCCTAGATTGTTCCCTGCCCCCTCTCAACTTTATGTTCCTGCTTTTTTTCTTTTTAAAAATAGCCCACTGTGTTCAATTTGTGTTTCAAATATGTTTGCTCATGGGTGTGAAGCCATCGACTAAGCATGATCAGTCTACCAGGGACCATTTCCTTGAAGAACACTGACTGTCCCCCCTCCAGAAGTCATCAGCTTGTCCATTAGCTGTGGGCGGGGGCTTGGGAGCCATTTTCCATTCTGTGATGGGATGTTGACTCCTGACCTTATGCAGGCAACAGCAGCTCCTGTGAGTTCATGAGTTCAGTGGTCCTGCACTGTTGAGAAGACACTCTTTCAGGAACCACTGCCCATTGAGCCATCTTTCTGGCCCATTCCTTTTAATTTTTATTTTAGCTTCATATGTAAATCAGTATGTTCATTTTAAGTTAATGTTTATTTTGATTTTTTCTTTTATTGGGATACCCAATTGATCCAGCAGCATTGCAGAAAGACTTTGTTTTCTCTCTCTCCCTCTGAATGCTTTGTTCAGCCCCTTGTCTTCATTTGTGTATGGGTCAGTTTGTGTGCTGCACTCTTTGTTCATCTGTATATCTCTTCGGCCTGTACTTTCAATGTCTAGCATCTGAAATTTGACATTGCTCAATTGACATTGACAAAGTGAGGTTTTTATATAAATCTTTGATAACTAATATTCCATGGAACTACATGATTTGCTCTATGATAATGAACTTTGTTACCTTTCCATCTTCTTAAACTGAGTAGTAGCTTGTAACCATTTTATCTGGGACTTAGAGTCATGGAAGCAGACTGTGAGCTTTATTGGCAGCCCCTTTTTGAGGTTGATTTCTCTGGAGGAACTCCTTTACTTTTGGCCTTCTGCTTTAACCTGACCAGCTTTCTTCAGCAAGCTTAGGCAGCCTAGTTAATCATTTACCTGAATTAGAAATGCATTATATTCTCAGCTTGCCAGAGTAAACTGTAGCTGTTTCATAGTCTTCATTCATTTTATCTATTTAGATAATTATTTGTTAAGTGTTTAAGGTCTTCTCTTTTGTTTGTTAGCTATTCTGCTAGAATACAAAGTTAAGAACTGCCCCTAGAAGAGCTTATCATAATGGAGGGAGACCAGAAGGCCAAGAAGTAGAATAGAAACTGGGTCTTCAGACTAGAAAGTGGTCTGTGATGTATAAAGCATGTGGCCTGGTCGGTGAGCTCTTAGTACACCCATGCACCTAAAAAATTGTGTCCTAAAAAATGAGTGACACAGATAGAGGCAAAAGAGAAAATTGAAGGTCAGGTCTTGAAGTGGTAGGATATTGAATTTAATTAAAAATGCTAATAAAAAAGATGAGGTTAGCATAGGGATGTTATTATTCCTTTTCGTTTAAAGCTAATTGGAAACCTTGTAGATAGGAATAATAGATTTCTACAGAATTGTTTGCTCTGTTTTATGTGTAAGCACAATGATAGGTTTGCACACTAAGGTCTGTTGTGTTACAAAGTTGAAACCAGTGGCTTGGCTTCTTTTACTTCTCTACACTGAGTCAGAGTGAAGAGAGTGTGGAAACTCAGCAGAGTGTTTGTAGAGGCATCAATCACTTTTTTCTCCCATGTAGTCTTGCTGTGGGAGGACCCTTCTCAACTCTGTGAATATATGTCCAGCCTCACAAAATACTACAGCCAAGACTTGACAATATTCTAAATTTTCTCAGGCTGGGTCCCCATAAGATTACCAGTGCCCCCAGTCAGCAGGAAGTAGTCTAGAAAACTATGCCCAAATTCCTAAAATATTGTTTATGAATGTTTTCATTTAAGGGGGGTTGGTTATAAATTGTTATTGGTCATAGTCAATCTCTTTCTAAAGAAGAAAGGGGGATATGATATAGAAATGATGGGGGGAAAAGGTAGATTATTATAATTAAAAAAAGGGGTAGTTTATTGAATCCAAAAAAAACCACAACTGTTATTCTCAAAATACTTTACATTGGTATAGATTTTAGTTTATTGATACAAATTTAAAGTCAATTTTGTTATATTGTATGTTTATTTCTACTCTTGTTTAAGGTATTGTGTTTATACAGCTCACTTAAAAATGTAATGTATAATTAAAAAATACAGATTAATAGTCATCTATAATAGTCAAACCTATAGACATGTTAGTTAGAGATATATTCCAAATAGATAGGTAATCTTCAAACACTTCAAAGACCTACAGAATATGGCATTTAAAATGTTTTAATAACTTAGAATTCTTTTGATGTGAGACCCATCTGCTCCTGGCATTATGGATCTGCTCCTGAGAGGATGATGGATACTGAAGATACTCCATATGGAGTTTGTTTTCTTTGTGGCAAAACTGGCCTATTGTGCAAGAAACTGCTCTTGCCTCGGCTGCTGACAGTAGCCCACTGTCCAGTTTGGACAAGCAAGACACAAAGAAAAGCAACTGCCAAACCTTGCCAAGACAGAGTAGAACAGTCCTTCAAATTCTCCTGCTTCTGAAAAGGGTTTGTCAGATAGTCTAGGCCTGTAAGCCAAAGTTGGATGCCCCAGTGTCGCAGAGAAACCTTGGGTGACTGTCCAGGCGGCCAGCTGTCTTGTCATTTCTTGCTTTTTTTGGAAGTTACTTGCCTGCTCTCCCTGCTTACTCAGGCATATTGTTTTCCTTCTCAAGTCTTTGATGGAGTTGAAGACTAGATAATTATAGTTTCCTTCGTTATGATAAAGGATAAATTAGATATAAAACTTTACTCTTACCAAGATAGGATAGATAATTGAATGTTTTCTCTGATTTTTGCCAAATACAAATAGACTAGATATTGTAACTGTAATTCTTGCTTGATAACTTTTGTTATTTGTAATTTTGCTATGTTAAAGTTAAAACCTTCCTTTTTGATTAGACAGAAAGGGGGAAATGCTGTGGAAGGACCCTTCTGTACACTGTGAATGTATGTTGCTCTCATGGATTGATAATAAAAGCTTATTTGGCCTGTAGCCAGGTGGAATAAGGCTGGGCAGGAGAACCAAACTAAGGGTGATGGGAAGGAGAAAGACAGAGTCAGGAGATGCCAGTGAACCACCAGAGCAACAAGATGTAATAGAGAACAGGTAACGCCACAAAGCCACGTGGCAAAATATAGATTAATAGAAATGGGTTAATTTAAGTTGTAGGAGCTAGTTAGTAATAAGCCTGAACAATAGGCCAAATAGCTTGTAATTAATATTAAGCCTCTGAATGATTTTATAAAAGTGGCTGTGGGGCTGGGTGGTACAGAAAAGCCTCTGTTTACACAGTTTTTTTGAGTGGACGAGAAGTTGGCTATAGTAAAGGTGCGTAGTAAACAATAACAGCATTATTAAGAGTACAGTGAACACAATATCATTAAACAGTTGTCTGAAAAGAGTTGTTGAATGTTTATGTAATATACCTAAACAGTCTACTTAAAATTAAGCCATACAGTTATTTACAATAAAATTTGTTTTGAGTTGTTAAGCACACTAAAGATTTCAGATTATATGAATTTGCTTTATAAATATTTGCCTGAATGTGAAAGAAGGAGTAGGGACTGCAGAGGACTGCAGTAGAAGAGTTATCTTTCCTTAGGAAATTGCTTGAACGTTCAATATTCTATGTGTTTTTTCCATGTGAAAATTTGTAATAAACAAATGCAAATAGTTCAGTTCTTCTCAAGAGCCAGGTGAATACAAATTGCCCAGTCCTTTGTCCACGGAAGCTTTTTGTTTGAAACCATTTCCTGTGCTTTGTTAATTTTTTTTCAGTGACCAATTATTTATAGTGCTTGATGGGTGGTTTTTGTTGTTGTTGTTTTGTTTGTTTGTGTGTTTGTTTGCTCATTCAGAGCAGTACTTTCAAGATAGGTACAGGACTGCACCAGTACTCAGAAAGCAGGAAGATCATAAGTTTGAAGCCATCATGGGTCATAGAGTAAGACCAAAAGCAACAATGCTTCTTTTGAGTACTTGCTGATTTGCTTTTATATTCATTGTTAATTACTTTTTCATTAGGTTATGCTTCCTCCTGGAGCCCAGCATTCTGATGAACGAGGTGCTAAGGAAGTTATTCTTGATGATGATGAGTGTCCTTTACAAATCTTCAGGGATTGGCCAAGTGACAAAGGTAGAGGATTTCCTCAGTAGTCCACCTCTCAGATTTCTGCCAACTCTCGTTCATTGGATGACATGGAAAATGTATGGGGGGTGGGAGGTGGCTGCAGTCTGCCAGTTTTTTTCATGGACTTGCTGGGTATTTCCTTGATGGTACCCTTGCCTGTGGAACCACACTCAGCTCATTTGACTGTCCTGTGCAGATGACATGGCAGGTGAAATGCCAGACTATTAGCAGTGGAAGACCATTGTTATCGATGAGCTGTGAAACAATGTCCATACTGACTGTATGAGTTGTGCGGTATTTGAGCAAGTTTGTTAGGATAGGGAAAGTACCCTACGACCCTAAAGTTTGTCCAGTAATACAGTCATTTCAGATATAGGTTGAGCAATATTTACTGGAAATACTCAGAATCCAGAAGTGTTTGAGATTTCAGAACTTTTCAGACTTGAGTATTTTTACCTTCATAATGAGATACTTTGAAGGTGGATACAAGTCTAAGCCTCCCCTTCTTTTGTGTTTGCCTTACACACCTAACCTGTGTGTAATTGAGTCTATACGTTTTCATGTATTGGTGTTTGACCTGTTCCCTGTTAGGAGGTTTGTTTTCATTGTATCATGTTGGAAGCTGAAGCATTTTGGATTTCAGGTTTTTGGTTTAAGGATGTTCAACTTGTGATGTGTGCATATTTGTCACTGTTCAGACATTTTCCCTATTTCAAGGCAGCAAAGTGTTTAAAGCTATGTTTTTGATTAAGTATAGTTTCTAATGTTAAGATTAATACAGTTGACTTTCTAGGTGAGTGTAGCATGAATTTTAACACATCTTACTAATAAAAAACAAACCTGGAGCCAGATATTGGGGTTAAAGCTGAAAGATCAGAGAAGCAGAACAAGCCACAGCCACCTCACCTGGCCAACTCCTCAGCTGAAACTGTTTTCTCAGACTGGAAACCTCTGTGTCCTCATCTGAATGGATCTCAGCTGAACTGCTGCTAGAAGCCTGAAGCTTAACCAGGCTAGTTCCTGGTCCTCACACCTTATATACCTTTCTGCTTGCTGCCATCACTTCCTGGGATTAAAGGCTTGAGTCACCATGCCTAGCTGTTTCCAGTGTGGCCTTAAACTCACAGAGATCTGGATGGATCTCTGCCTCCCAAGTGATAGGATTAAAGGCGTGAGTGCCACCATTTTCTGGCCTCTATATCTAGTGGCTGTTCTGTTCTCTGACCCCAGATAAGTTTATTGGGGTGCACAATATTTTGGGGAACACAATACCACCACAGGTGAGTGCTTTTATATTAATGAAGACATAACAATCCTGGTGGCGCACGCCTTTAATCCCAGCACTCAGGAGGCAGAGGCAGAGGCAGGCGGATCTTTGTGAGTTCGAGGCCAGCCTGGTCTACAGAGCAAGATCCAGGAAAGGCGCAAAACTACACAAAGAAACCCTGTCTCGAAAAACAAAACAAAACGAACAAACACAAACAAAAATCCTTCCTAATCTTACGTAATAATCATACTGCATTTGATAATTTAAAAATACAAAAAAAACTCTAAGAATAAGTGCATTTCTAGTTTTATTAAAATACTTATTCTGCACTATTCTAGACAGTTATAAAAGTTGAGCCTCATTTTGAAAGTTGTTTTGAATTTTGAGTTAATCATTTGAATTAAATAAAAATCAGGTCAACTGAGATGTTTGTGTATGTCTATTTGTGTGTGAACATTGATATCTACAAGTGCAAGTTCATTTATTTTTAAACTAACGTGCTGTTTACTAACTAGCACATGCTGTCTTTTGATAGCTAGCTTTCAGTTAGAAATAATTCCTGCATGTTGCTTGTTTAGGGTTTTTCAGAGCACACCAGACTAGTTCATCCTTCACTGATAAGATTGTCAATTGGGTGAGCCTTGCTCTTCTGCTCCTTGGCAGATGTTATTAAAACACATCTTCTTGGTAATGGGGGGGCCAATGGTTGTTAGTCAGTGATCATCACCCCCCAGGTTTGCTCAGTTGTTAATTACCATTGTCACCATTCTAGGGATTTTAGTCTTTCAATTGAAAAGGAGACCACCGGACTACATCCCAAAGAAAATGAAGAAGCATGTTGAAGGGAAGCCGCTGAAGGGGAAGGATAGAGCTGACGGATCTGGCTATGGTTCTGCCCTTCCTCCTGAGAAGCTACCCTACTTAGTAGAGTTAAGCCCAGGTGAGAAAGCTGGTAGATCAGGAAATGTATGTTTTTAGCTTAAATGTTTCTACTTTTTAATGTATTATTTTTTAAGTGTCCATTTACTTAAAAAGTTTAACATTCATAAAATTATGTTATTTTTTTAAAAACTAAAAATACTTAAGGCTACAGAATACATTAATTCATGCATAAAAATAAAGTTCACATGAACAAAAGTGAATCTAACACAGGCTTTAAAGTAATGAATAGCATTTAAAAGTTTTAATTAATCAGTTACTTTTAAGAAAAACTTCCCAAAGTAACTTTAGTTACTAGTTCTTAGTTCATCTTCTAGGAACAAATTGAAATTTACTCTTTCTGTAGCCAATCTATGTGTATGTGTATGAGAGAGAGATTGTGCTTTTATTTATGATGTATGTACAGTGTTCAAAAGGAATGTCCTTAGATTTAACGGTATGTCTTTGAAACTTCTTAGTAACTAGTAGGATGTTTTAAAGTAACATCATAAATTCATATTCATATTAGTCTTCTAATTATATCACTTACAGAATTTTTACAGCTAAAGATGTTGTCATAACTTAGTCATCAGATAGATAAATACGCTGACATTCTTTTAAGTGTTTCATATATACACACACCCCCATGTAGTATGTATTTGCATATATGTGCTCTACATGACATTTATCAGTCAGCTAAAATTACATCATTTCTAATTTAGCTAAGATGTGACCTGTATTATTGAATACTATGAAGATATTCCACCCACCTCCTCCTAGTTAGGAACCAAAGTAAAAGCCAGTTAGTGATTATAGGAAAATAGCATAAAAAGAATGCATTACATAAATAATATATGGTTCCTTGGGCAGGTTTTTTCCTCTCTCCTTTGGTTTTTAATGTTCATTTTTATTTCTAAGGTTGCTTAAGTTGCACTCAGCTGGCTGTTATAACTAACTAGAGGTTAGATTTGTACTTTGTCGTCGAACAATCTTAGGAGACAGCTGAGTTACGTTGGTGCAGAATAGAATAGTAATGTTTTGAAAGCCATTGTAATACACTGTGGCTGTGGCAGTGTGGTTCTAGGGGAATAGTTTTATATTTAATTATGCTTGAGGGCCTGTTTTCATTGCTAAGCAGTTTGTCCTCAGGTCTCTGACTGGGAAGTTCATCTTGAAGTTTTGTTTTTCACTGTAAATTGGAGACATCCTTATGTTACTGTCTGTAATGTAAGGAAAGTATTGGTGCTTGTTTATCTGAAGGAAAGAAGAGCAGCAGTTTTTAACTGAAGATTTATAGGCTGTTTTTCAAGTATGGGTCTGTTCATTAAAATGTTGCATCAGAGCCGGGCAGTGGTGGCGCACACCTTTAATCCCAGCACTTGGGAGGCAGAGGCAGGGGGATCTCTGTGAGTTGGAGGCCAACCTGGTCTACAAAGCGTTCCAGGACAGCCAGGGCTACACAGAGAAACCCTGTCTTGGGGGGAGGGATGTTGCATTGGTTGTAGAGCTTATGTTTGACAGTTAAGAGTCTTAGTTGTTAGCAGTTGACAGTAATTTTTAAATGTATAGCGGAAGACAGATTTTGAGAGCTAGTAAGAGGCTGTATCAGACATCATTCTGGCCTTAGAGACAGAACGATAACAGCACAGATTAACCAACCTCATGCTCTAATGAGTGCTTCCATTTTGGCTGCTTAGTTTTTACTTGTCTCTCAGTTAATCAAATGCATAGACTATTTTATTTTTAAAGGATGACTGACCCTGGATAAAGAGCAATTCTGTACTACTTTTTATCAAATACTAGCAGCAACATAATTGCATCTTTACTAGTATGTTTCTTAGCACTCTTACCTTTGGGCAACACTTATTGAGGTCCTTATATAAATAGACCAATGAATATGAATAAGACTGTCTCCGATGCCAGGTGATGAGCACAGTTCAGTGTCAGTGTCAGTGATTCTCCAGGCCCACACTCCCTTCCAGGTTCTCTGGGATGCTGGTAAGAGCTGCCTTCATTATTGCACAGGATCCAAGATGAGGAAACATTACTTTTGTTCTAAAGCTGATGATTTTGATGATAGGCCTGAGTGCTAGAATAAGGTCTTTGTTGTATCAGAGCTATGTCGTGAGACCTTTTTAGGTCAGTGTGCTGAGTGAATGTTTTCCATTATGAGAAATATTCAAGCATATTGATATGTTATGAATGGATGAGGACTATATTTCCACTAGGCACATTGTCAATCAAGTGTGTACCCTCAGTGTGGAAGATCTGCCAGGTATTGGCAGGAGTTGCTGAGGTGCAGGTATATTTATAGTATTATAGAAGAGTGGAAGCCAGGGTGCTGCTTTTCTTGTGTTCTACAAACAGAAGGAGCCAGCCAAGTGGGGTGGTAACCTCCTGTCAGGTTAACTCACTGTGAGCACACGCTGTCCTGCTGCCTGGTGACTCACCTGTTGTCCTGCTGTTTTCCTTAACAGTCTGCACTGGTTTCTAAAACACTGACTGGGGTCTACTGTAGTCTTTCCCACACAGCTCTGAGTACTAGTGGGTAAAATTTGCCATTTCTTCCTTTGAAACATCTCACTGAAGCTCACCCTTTGCATCTCTTCTCCTCCTTCCCTCTCCCACCTGTTCTGCATGGTTTCTCTCCTGCTGATGCTGCCTTCACCTGGGTCCTGGCATGTCTCTCTTAATCCCAGGGAGAAGGAATCACTTTGCCTACTACAGCTATCACACTTACGAAGGTAATGCTATGCTTAATACTACTTTTGTAATCAGGGCACTAACAGAACCTCTTAGGTGAACAATGTTGACTGAACAGACACTGTATGTGTAAGATGTGTAACATGTTCTTTTTCTGTTCGTATCTACTCAGTGCCCTGTGTCCTGCACCCAGATAATTTATTTATTGGAAGCTCTTTTTTTTTTTTTTGCTGCTTGCCTTTCCCATGCTCACTCTGGAAAGTGGATGTAGGCAGAGGATTGACAACAGAACTGTTGACTGCAAGCAAAGGGCCTTTAAGTGCTCTTGGGTTGTGGTATGGTTTGTGTCCCTTTCATACTTAGAGAACAGGCTAAGCATCCCTCACTCCAGATTTGAAATGATTTAAGTGCTGATGTGGAAACAGAAGGGAAAGTGTCTCATGGAATGGGTATAGTCATCACCCAGGCACTCTAAATATGTTGGGTGCACTTTCCTGTAGGCTGTGTGTTATATTGTCATGGAATTTATGTTTAAATGTAAGTTCTAGCCCCAAGATACGTGGTATATTAAATATATGTGAATATCACAATATCTGGGGTAAAATGTCAATCTGAAACTTGACTAGGGCTCTGGTAGCCTATTGTGTCTGCCATGGGTCTTCTTCGGACTGGTCTGTAGTGCTTTAGCTATCCTAGTTTTCCACTGGAGAGGCACCCAGGTGCTGTGGACAGTTGACTGTAGAGTGCTCCTGGAAGATGGAGGACAATAGGAATGGAGGTTGAGGGAGCACCGTAATACTCCTGCTTCCAGTTCAGAGCTGGAGGTGGGCTGCCACTGGGAGGGAGGCCAGAAGCACCAAGCTCTTCCTCCTTGCCTTCCTCCCTCAGCTTGGACTAGATGCTCTCTTGCCCACTTGTCCTGTAGCTATTAGATTCTTGTCTATGGTTTTCTATTAAAATGATGTGGTAAGAAAGGAGAGACTGGGAGAGCAGCCCTGAGTCTGTTGGTGTCAAAATGTAATTTTTTTTTTTTTTTTTTTGCTAGCTGCAGAAGAGTGTTAGTGTGAACACTGCTCCTAACAGATATGTCTTTGATGTTCTTGTGACTTTGACTCACATGGTTATTTACTTTGTTCCTTTGTAATTCATTTGTGGTGTTTGTGTGACTGTATTTCATTACTTTCACTTTTAGTATAACTGTTTGCTCTAGAACATTAATTATCGAAGGCCAGTGTGGCCTAGCTACCAAGGAGCTTGAATTGATGGGGGCCTAGTCAGTGGGAATCTTTCTGATAATATGTTTCCTGTGCTTTGAAGGTCAGGAAGGGCATGGTTTGTGAACTGCCCATGACAGTCAAGTAAACACAGTAGTAAACATCCCAGGAGGAGAGGAGTCCATGTCCAGGAAAAGCCCACAAAGCTTTGATTTTGTTTTTGGACATGTTGTTGGCTTTAAACTTCTTTTCCTTCAGATTCAGTATCCAAAGTGCTGACATTAATCAAGCTAATCAGTGTTTAGCTTCTGTGATTTTGATGTCTCATTCAGATCCAGAGTTTCTGAGAATAATTAGAGATGAAAATATTCCGTGAGGGGGACAGTACAGACAGGCCATTGTGGGGAGGTCCATAATAGGCATGTATGTCTCTGACATACTCGAGTCTCATCTTACCTTCACCCAGATGTTACAGATTTGATATTTCAGAAATAGAAAATTATATCAGTAGAGTGTTAGTTTGTGTACCCTAAAACTAAAGTTGGTTCTGGAGAGCTTAGGTATTTATGGTATCTTTTGTTCATAAGAGTTCAGATTACATCACAGCTGAGAGACTTTAAGATTTAAAACAGTCTGTGTACACACCAGAGTCCTCCAAACTTCTGAACTTCTCATAGCTAACATCTGATTCCAGTGACAGGATTTGAGTAAAGGACTTGGACAGTTGTGAAACAAACTGGAGAGGCTCACACTGGTTTTAAGGAGACCTTACTTGGTACTTTTGCAGCCCACACTGAGTGTGGCTGTGGTGAAGCTGGAATTGTATACTAATTCTTGTGTTCTGTGAGGTACACTTGCCATATGTTCACTCTGAAAACAGAGAGGGCTTCGGTGTACACCCTTTGTACAGATGGGGTACAGTGGGTGAACGTGAGTGGACTAGAGGCTGGCGTTGCTGCTTCTTCTCCTCCTGCCCTTTACCCATTGCAGAAGTCAGAATATAGCAGTTGTGCTCCACGTTTTCTTTAAAGGACACAGAATTGGGTGGGCACAAAAGCATAGGTAATCTGGAGGAGTTGGGGGGTGTGGTGTGAATATGATCAAGACATGTATGAAATTCTCAAAGGACAAATCAAAAACTAAAAAGCAAAAAAAGTTATCCTTTCTGCCTTTAACCCCAGTTCTTCTGAAGGGAGTTAAGCGTTTCAGTAACATTTTTTTGTCAGTGCTACACATTGGAACACTTGAGATTTAGACTGTGGTTCTGGAGGTCTGGTGAGCTGGGAGGGTTGCACAGTTGACGAGTTGTTATGCCCCACCACTGTGCTGTGAACATGAGGGTGCATGGGACTTCTGCCCCACAAAGGTTCTGGTTTGAAGTAATGGCTTTCGTCGTCTTACTCTGTATTCTCAATACAATCCCATCCTTGGAATCACCAAGGAAAACCTAGGGTAGTGTGCTGGCGAAAGAAGTATAATCAAAAAGTGTTGTAATTAATGACACTTAACATTTATACAGACAGGAGCTGACCGGTGTCTATGTCTAGTGTGTTAAGGTATATGATGTTAGTTGAGACTCCTTGGAAAGAAGTCCTGAGAAGTAAAGCTGTACTATCCTTAGTAAGAGAACTTGTTTGTCTCAAACATAAGATCATTAGACTTCACAAAAGGATCTCTATGCCTTCTCTTCTCACAGATGGCTCTGACTCTAGAGATAAGCCAAAGTTATACCGCCTTCAACTAAGTGTGACTGAAGTTGGGACAGAGAAGTTCGATGACAATTCTATCCAGGTACTTGATCGTGTTTGCTGCCTAAGCCCTTTACTGTCACTCTTCCTATCAGTAATTAATAAGCACATGTCAAGGAACCAGCCACATGGGAATGAATGAAAATGATAGCCCTAGTATTTAACTGTAAGTCATTCAGTATTCTCTGAGTCCCTTTTCTCTGCTTTAGTGTAGAGAGAACATGACGTGTTTGTGTCCAGAGTGCACCTACAGAAACGTGCTGTTGTAACATTCCAGTCTGGCTGTTGACTTCTGCCTGGGAAGCAAAGGTGCTGAGACAGTTGATAGGTCTGTCCTAGGAAGACTGCCTAGTCTGCAGTCGGCACTGCCTGAGCTTCTGAAAGGAGGGTGTCAGGGTTCGACACTGGGCTTGTCCAGTCAACCATTCTTTACCACTTGTTTCTGTGCGTGAGTAAAGTGGTTGGGTTTTTAGTTCTTAACAGTAAAATCTAAGTAAGGTTTTTTAGAAATAATAATTTTCTGTATGGATTCATCTATTCATTACCTAGTTAATGTTTCAGATCATATGCTTTGTGTGTGTGTGTTGGAAAGGGGGATCCTGGGGTTGGAACCGAGTGCCTTGCTGCAGATAGTCAGTGACCACACTACTGAACGACTTCCTGAACCCGTCATACTATTAGTAAAGCAGAGTTACAATATTCTTGAAAACAAGTTCTTCAGTGTTAAAAGTGCCCAGATACTTTGACATAATTTTACACTATTAAGAGAGAAATCCACATAAGAAAACAAAAAACCTAGGGCTTGTTAGACTGTATCTATCATGGCAGAACGTGAATGTTTTAAGCACTGTGCACTTGGTGATGGAACTGTCTTTCCCTTCTCTTTTCAGTTGTTTGGCCCAGGAATTCAGCCTCATCACTGTGATCTCACTAACATGGATGGAGTGGTCACTGTGACACCCAGAAGTATGGATGCAGAGACCTACGTGGATGGCCAGCGCATCTCAGAGACCACCATGCTGCAGAGTGGCATGAAAGTACAGTTTGGCACTTCCCATGTGTTTAAGTTTGTGGACCCCATCCAGGACCACGTTCTTTCGAAGAGATCTGTGGATGGAGGCCTGATGGTCAAGGGCCCAAGACATAAACCTGGGTGAATATGATAGATCAGCTTAAGGATTTTAGAGTGTTTTGGCTATAAAGTAATTTCAGTTAGATGTAAATACCTTTTTATTTTCAGTTTTTAATTACATTTTTTATTTTCTGTGTGCATGTGTGTGTGCATTTGTGTGTGCCTGTTTTTTTTTCTGTACTCGAGAGGTTATCTCACAGGAGTGTGCTTTCTCCCACCTGTGGGTCCTGTGGATCAAATTCAGGTTGTCAGGCTGGCAAGCAAACAAGTAAGCAAGCAAGCATGTTCCTCACTCCATTTTCCCATCCTTTATTTTTAGTTTTTTTTTTTTTTTCGAGACAGGGTTTCTCTGTGTAGCTTTGCGCCTTTCCTGGAACTCACTTTGTAGACCAGGCTGGCCTCGAACTCACAGAGATCCACCTGGCTCTGCCTCCCGAGTGCTGGGGTTAAAGGCGTGCGCCACCACCGCCCGGCTATTTTTAGTTTTAAAAGATAAAAATGAAGGGTCTGGAGAAGTGGCCTAGTGCTTAAGAGCAGTTGCTGTTTTTGCCGAGGACCCTGTGTGGTTCCCAGTAACTGAATCAGACAGCTCTCAACCATCCGTAATGCTAGTTCCAGGGGTTCTGATGTGGGTACTACACACACATGTTGCACATACATATGTGCAGGCACAACACCCATGTAAAATAAAAATAAAACTTTTTAATATCAAAATGAAGTTTATAGATTGGGAGTTTTTTGTAAATTTGTATTGGTTTTGGAGCACAAAGAGTTGATTCTGACTTAATCTTGAAATTGGAAGTTCTGACTGATTTTAAAGTTTTTTTCTTTTAAAGCTGATCTGATCTTTGGACCATCACCCTATGTATCTAATAGTGTTTAAACTACCCTCCTCACTCTAAAGCTCTGGCTACACAAGGGGGATCTATTTAAGAACTCAGAACCTTTTAGCTCCACCTAGTGTTTTCATGAGGTCTTGCAGTGTGGCCTCTTCTGTTAAACCTTTTTTTGGAGAAGAGTTTTTCTTTTGGTAATAATTTTGGAATCATAAACTGTTAAGCTACTTTGTATCTATTTTATAGGTTAATAAGGTATCAATCTTGGGGAAATAGCTTCCATAACTCCTATGCTATTTACAAGAGTTCTAAGTCCACAGAAGTATAACCTACTCAAAGAATATAAGCATAAACCAACCTGTAAACCACTGTGTTGGTGGACTCTGTACTGCCCCACCTCCATTTTGTTTGTTTGTTTGTTTTTTAAAGACAAGGTCTCACCATGTAACCCAGACTTGCCTTAAACTTACAGAGACCTGCCTGCCTAACGTGACATAGGTTACCTTCTTCACACATCTGACACTTTGGACCAGATGTTATTACTATTCAGAGTTAACATTTTTTTCTCCAGTGAACACATCATAACATGCACTGGTTTAGGCACAAGGATGTTTGAAGTTTCATACGCAATGTATGAAGTGTTTCTAGTTTTTCACCTTGAGTTGCAGTTTTTTTGTTTTTAATTTATATACTTGGGTATATGTACTACATGTGTGCAGGAATCCAGCCCAAGTTTATAATAACTTTGTACTGACTTATGCCTTTAGCTGTGAGTATCATACCTTCCCCAGTACTCAGAACACAGTAATGACATACAGGGGCTTAGTGGATTAAGACATCCCTGAAATCCCCAAACTGATGTCTTGGAGATGGTTACATGCAGAAAGTTAATGATTATTTAGTCTTTGGTAAAAAACTCCTTAGAAGTTATTTTTCAGAGCATGGTATTGCTTTACATTGCAAGATATTTTATTTCCTTAGGGAATTATATAGAGAAATTTCTAATAGAAAAATTATTTGAATTTCAACATTACTTGTTTCAGTCTATCAATGAAACTTTGAAATTAAATCATGTAGTTCTCAAATATTAAAACAATCCAGAATTAGCCATCATTGCTTTATTCTTGTTGGCTTACAGGCACCTTTAGGCTTCTTTTCCCATTAGGTTGGGACCAGTGTGTTATATTTAATCTTTATTTGTGCGAAAGAATGTAGTTTTGCTTGCCTGAGCTTTGTTCCTATAGAAAAATATGATTTTTTTTGTATTATTTAAAGTTTTTATTATTTTATTTATATATGATGTTTTGCCTACCTGTATATCTGTATGTGCCTGGTGCCCACAGAGGCCAGAAGATTGTATTAGATCCCCTAAAATTGGAGTTACAGATGGTTGTGAGCTATCAAGTGGGTGCTGGTAATTGAACTCAGGTTCTCTTCAAGAATAACAAGTACTCTTAACCATAGAGCCATCTCTCCAGCCCCAGTTTTTTGTTATTAACAACAGGACCTGATAAGAAAAGCTCTCATATTTACTGTCACATTTTAAAAGTCTATATGCCAAAATAAATGAGTTTATTAATGATCTTTGAACATTGGAATACTGTCTGTTCTTGCTGTGTTGAGAGTACTACTTTGTCAGTTGAAATTTAATTTTTATGTTTCTTTTTCATTCAATAGAGCCGTTCAGGAGACAACCTTTGATTTGGGAGGAGATATTCACAGTGGGACAGCATTGCCAGCAAGCAGGGTAGGTGGTTATGGATCATGACCTGATCATCTTGTAGGTTGGATGTTATAGGGCGCCCAGGAACAGAAGCTCCTTTGTTAAAGACTTGAGTTCATAGTAGCCTCTCTCTGCTGTATCTGTTCACCCTGTGGTACATAATGGAAGGTGTCCTGAGGTCAGGATAGAGTGCTTTCTCTTTCAAGTGGGTATGTGTGTTGCCTGTGCTACTACTGTGTGTAACTCACCTCTTTGGCCAGATGCTGCTGAGGATGATGTGCCCTTGCCCCTTTACTTCCCTTGATACAAGTACTAGACCCCCATTGGTTACTCACTTCTCTAAGTCATCCTTTGTTCCTGTATATAAAAGTCATTTCTCCCTTCATCTTGGTGATCTATTTCTGGATTACAGTTACTGTAAAACTTGGTGAGCTGAAACAGCAGCCCCTTCATTTATTGATAATTGGATGAACTAGTTTGAGTTTACTAGGGCAGCCGGTTTACTGGTCTTGCTACTGGTCCCTCATGTGACTGCAGTCAGCTAGCAGGTGAATCAGTGACACACTTCCGAGACTACCCACCTTGCTTCTCTTTGCTGTTTCGGGTTCTTTCCGAAGGACTCTTTAAACGAGAGCAGTCAGAGCTTGTGGTCAGGTGGTGTTCTGTAGGACTAGCACCTTGAACTTGCAGGTGTTCTTAAGAGTTAGGCCCAGGGCTGATATAGCACCATTTTTTTCCCCTGCCTTTTATTGGTTGAAACAAATCGGAGTCAGATTTAAGGGGAAGAGGTCTTCTTGAGATGTGGTATGTTGGAGGCCATGATGGAACTAAGCTGGGAACATTGTCCTGAGTGCCCACGTCCGACTTGGTCCTCCTGACTCGGTTTGCTGTCCTCCTCTCGTTGCGGCCCCACTCCGCTACCCCACTTTCAGCAGTTTCTCGACTGCATCCTCTGAGGAGGCCGTTCGTGTGTCTTAAGGTTTGTTGCTTCTACCAGGCTCCTGTCCTTGACTGTGCTTTCTGTGTTCTTGTTACAATAGTGTCTACTTATAACTACTCTTCTATACATACTCTTCTACTTCAGGTTGCTCTGTCTTTATCCCTGGACCATGGCTTGGTGGTTCTTTCTAGGTGAATTGTTGGTACCTCTTTCTCTAATATACCTCTGATAACTGGAGAGCTAAGCTGTCAGGTCTAGGGCCCTGTCCCTCCTGTTTATACGTGTTCCCTTGGTGACCTTGCCACACTGCTGAAGATTATACCTATTTGTTGTTCGCTAGTGTGTGCCTTTGACCCTGGTTTCCCCAGACTGAAATCTTCAGAGGCTTGATTGACTTTCTGTTCCGCATTGATGGGTATTCAAATTTAACATAGTGAATTAAGCCTGGCTTTTGTTTTTGTTTTTGTTTTTCTTAGACTTACTTCTTTCTCATCTTCTTCACTTTAGTAAGTTACACCACCAACCATGGCTTTGCCCCACTGAAGTCTGTCCCAGGTTGCCTTTGGTTCCTTTCCTTTGCACAGCTCCTGCGTGAGGACTGTCCTGTCTTGTTTTCTCTGGCTGTGAAGCCTCTGCATGCCTCTGCCTTACTCAGCATTCAGTACTCACGTAACAGGGCAGTGCAGTGCTGTGAGCAGCAGCTCCTCTCAGGTGTTACTGGTCAGCCCTGGCTGGTTGTCATTACTCTTGAATTTTAGGGACATGCATTTGGTTCTGTTGGAGCACTGCTGTCAAAGCCTCTGGTACCTTTCCGACCTGCCACGGACTGGCCCACCGGGGGTACCACAACTGTAGGAGAACCAGGGCTTGGGTAGTCAGGAAGGCAAGGATTCGGTGAATGACAGACAGACAACACACTCAGAAGTGGTTTGAATCCGCTGTGATTTTACTTCTGTAAATCAGTAGTTTAGGGGGCTGGAGAGATGGCTCAGAGGTTAAGAGCACCGGCTGTTGTTCCAGAGGCCCTGAGTTCAATTCCCAGCAACCACATGGTGGCTCACAACCATCTAGGATGAGATCTGGTGCCCTCTTCTGGCGTGTAGGCATACATGCCGGAACACTGCGTACATAATAAATAAATAAATTTTAAAAAAATCAGTAGTTTATATACAGAAAAGAAAACTAACAAGTCATACAAGGAACAACAAAAACTTGGCAATAATTTAATTACATCATCTCTAAAAAACAGCAAGCACACAATTATTAATCGGCGCCAGACATATCCCTTCACCCACAAGAACTTTATGACCAAAGAGCAGTCTGTGTTTTTTAAACTTAGTACAGTCCCTAGACTTGTGTAAACTTTTTGTGGTTGTAGCTGTGTCTCTTATCTTATCCCAGCAGTTTTCTAGTTTATAATACATTTCTACTTTTTTGGTTCCCATGGCCCATTTAGCCAATTTGGATGCTGCAGACCCTCTCTAAGTCTTTCTTTAGTTCTTTTACCACATATCTATTTTAATATAAAACCTTTTTACCTGTTGGAATATGGACTCTTGTACTTTTACGCCTGTAAGGGGAAGGGGTTCTGCTGTAGTCTTTAAGTTTCCCATGTTGAACTTCCTCAACAGAGGGGCCCATCATCTGCCTCCTATGAGATAATGTTTTTTTTTTTTTTTTTTTTTTTAAATCATAAATCACTTTAGTTGGGATTCTTAAAGGATTTCTAGTGGGTGAGTGTTCATTCCCTAGAAGTACCTGAACCTTTATACTTTCTTTATCTAGCAGCTTGGGGTCTTTAAGAAATAGCTCATTCTGTTATATCTGATTAAGATCCATGTCCAGCTTCCCCTTTCCTCCATAGTTCACAACCCAAGCATTCATTAATTTTGGCTGTGCTTCATAGATTAATTAGAACATTATCAGAAAAGCAGTTATACAGAACCCATAGCCCAGGGAGCTCATGATCTGTGAAGTACATCTTCTTTGAGAAGGAAGCATAACGCGGGTACTCTGTCAGGGACCTCTAGGGAAGCTTAGTCCCGTGGGACACATATCTCCCGTCCGCTATTATTGACATAATTGTTCATGTCACACGGACGACACCGGAGTTGGTGTGGCACCGACCCACACGTCATGGCCTTCACCCTAGCTTCACAGCTCCTGATACTCTGATTTCCTCCCTCCAGGACTGTTGCAAGTAGTGTCTTCCCCTCCCCTCTCACACTCCGTTCTCGTGTGTGTGCCCACTTCTCGTTTACCTTCTCCTAGATCTTATTCTTTGTTTTTACATGATTGGCCCCTTCTTGTCTTAATCCATCCTCCTGATGAGGTCATTCTTGAGCAGCATCCAGTCATACTACTGCACGTCAAGCTTTTCGGTAACTATTGTTCCTACCTGGTGTCTCTGCTTGCTAATTGATGATGTGGGCTGTGAACTCTGGACACAGGGACCCTGTTTCATAAATTAATTGTTGTGCCTCTAATGCTGCAACAGAACCTTGGCACATACAAACGAATAAATACTCCAGAGGTGAAGCAGAACTTTTCTCGTAACAATGTATACTCAACATAGAAGGCTTGGTAAATAGAGGGAAAATGAAAGTCCATTATCCACAGTATAAATGACTCTTATTAACATTTGTGAACCCTTTCCAGAGTGCTTAGATCGTAGGGAGGCAGGTGTGCCTGTGCCTTTGTGTTTACTTATGTGTTTCAACTCTATGAGGCTTGTCTGTCTACATATCTTTCTGTACTATGTTGTACTGTTAATTGTGACCAGTTTTTTTGTTTGTTTTCTTAAGTCATTTAAAAATAATTCTTTAGTATATAAGCCCATGAACGTGTCCTGATTTATTTTTCCATTGTCATTACTGGTCATTTGTAAATACTTTTTTAAAGAAGTTTTAAAGCCTAAAATAGTGCCATCTGCTGGCCAGTTTTATTTTTGTTACTGTAACTGGGGAAGAAAAATGACTATTCTTTCAAAATCGTTTTGTCTTTATATTTTATTGCTAAGGTTTACCCCTTACTCTTTGAAAATCAAAATGTCCGTGTTTTTTCATGTTCGTGCATTCACTGCTGTGAGCTTCTGGGCAGGACACTGGACTCAGGGTCTTCAGTGTTTCTGAATGATTTGTTCTGGGTCCTCACCTTCCCTGCACTGCAGCCAGACCCACATCACCTTCCTGCCTGCAGTGCTAAGTGTCAAGCTTGATTGGTTGGTGTGTGAGGTCCTCTAACGCTGTGGCTTCCTTTGGAACAGAGCACTACTAGACTGGACAGTGACAGGGTACCCTCTGCCTCCAGCACAGCTGAGCGAGGGATGGTGAAGCCAATGATCCGACTGGACCAGGAACAAGATTATCGCCGAAGAGAAAGCAGGTGAGAGAAGTGAGCACCCTAGAGGAGGCTTTGGGGTAAAGATGCTGAGGTTATAGATTTAGCCAGAAGTTGTAGAAAGTTTACCAGGCTTTTATGAGTATGTGTGTGTTACTGAATAAAATGAACGTTTAGTAATTGCATTCCTTCCTTGCCACGTGTAGCCTTTGGACACTGGCACATTGGGTTTTACTTTCTCTTTTAAGTTGGCTGCTCTATAGCATACAGAGAAAGGGAGTTTTTATAACATTTTAGTATGTGATCATTTTTATAGAGAAAATTAATTATTGCATCCATTTCTAGAAGAAATTTAAAAATATGTAAAGACAAAAATAATTTTGAAGAGACATTCCCTGTCCCAGACTCTCATGCGGTATGTCTCCCTGCTGAGGCAAGCAAAGGGTGAATTAGTTTCCTTACATTGTTGCCTCATTTCTTATGACACGGAACTTCTCTGCTTTCTGTTTTCTTTTATGCTTTTTAATATGTTACCTTCATAAATCAGGAGTCTTTGTTTTAAGTAGGGTAGCAGGCTGTGTCACACGTGTTCACTGTTAAGTGACACCATAGTACTTAGAGCCCTAGAGGCCACAGATGGGGAGAAGGAAATGCCGAGTGAACCCTGTGTGCTGTTGGCAGGGAGCTGGAGATGTTATTGACCTGTTCCAGGGTTTTGAAGAAGGCATTCTTTCTGTTCTTGTCAGACATCCAGAACAGATGATTGGCAGAAGTGGGAGACTTGCGTACAATCAGAGTCAGTTGTCAATGCAGTGTTGTAAAAAGTCTTTTATTACCTTCCATCTTCCAGCAGAGGGCACTGTGTATCACAAGATTATTAATAACTTCAGTCCAATAATGAAATATGTAGTTATCAACAAATATCATAATATTTTTATTGTGGGTTTTTTGACTATTCATGTAAGATTTTTTTTTTTTGGCTGTGTGATTATTAGATGTCATAAAAGGTAGTTCTCTTTTTGTGTTTACACTTGTTTTGGGTGGTATAGAGTAATAGCTTATGGTATCCGTCATGGTGAAGTGTTGCATCAGTATTGGTTTTCTTTTTGGTCTGTTTGTTTGAAATGGGCCTCACTATAAAGTCCTGGATGGCCGTGGACCTCACTATGTGAGCCAGGCTGGCCTAGAACTCACAGACGTCCTCCTGTCTCTGCTTCCCAAGTTTTGGGATTAAAGGTATGTTACTACATCCGGTATGAGTTGATACTGCAATGATCACAGGCATGTATCTATACATGATGGAGAAATGTGATTATGAGTCTAGGTGGGACGAGGAGAGACAGACCATGAAAACAAATAAATATATTCTTATTATAGCAAAATAGCCACGTGAAGGGGCTAGTCCTAAAAGTTTTATTTACACTATGGATGTTGTTTGTTGATGTTAAGACAGGATGGAAACAGATAAACCTTCTAATTCCTACTACACTTTTCACATTGACAATGCTGAAATTAGCAGTGCTTAATTGATGTAGTTTAAAATCTTGGTCATTTTAATAAACAGATTTAAAATTATAATTTTAAGGAAGCTCAAACATCCTTTTGAGTGAAGGGAGTAACTTTTCTTTTAATTATCACATTTTTTCCCCTTTTTCCAGTTAATATAAACTCTTTATTAAATTTGTTAAAACAATGAAATGAGTAATTTATACAGTTTATCCAAGCTAATTCTTTTAAAAATTTGAAACTGCCAGCCAGGCAAGGTGGTGCACACCATTAATCTTGGAGGCCAGCCTGGTCTACATAGTTGATTCCTTGCCAGCCAGGGCTTTGTGGTGAGACTGTATCTCAAAAAAAAAAAAAAAAGAAAGAAAGAAAAGAAGAATACACTTTTAGTATAAGATCTGTATTGAAATAATCATGCATTTAAATCATATTATTTTTTTAAATTCTTAAGGTAAACTCAATTGTTAAATTACAGATTGGAGTAAACTTTGAATAATATAATTTAATGAAAAGAATTTTGCCTTTAAAATGATAATAGTTTGTGTTAACTTACATTATGTTCTTTTTTTTAAGGTTGTGTGTGTGTGTGTGTGTGTTAGTTATATGGGTTCTGGGATTCAAACTCTGTTCTCAGCATCTTTTTTAGCTGTTAAGCAATTTCTCCAGTCCCTTGGTATTCTTTTCTTTTTATTCATCTTTTCATACTTGGCAAAGGTGAAAGAATGAGGAGAACGGAGCTGTTTGTCAGTGGAAAAGAATATTTCAGTTAGCTGGTCTGTAATTTATTAGAAAACTGTATCTTTTCACTGTTACCTGAGCTGGGTGGCTTAGATCCTTGTCTTCAACATGTGGTACTCATTAATAATCCAGACACGTGTGTCTTATCTGCCCTCACAGTAGAAGTCTGTCCTTCAAGGAATCCACCTTCTGTCCACTCATCTGATGTGTGACTAGGTTAACAGAAGAGGCTAGAGACTGTGCCGTGTATGACTTAACACCTCAAAACTGCACATGGAAACAAACCAGTTTTGGAAATGTGCACAGGTGGCAGGCAGTGACGTTGTTAGCTGTTGACCTTACCTCAAGGCAATTTGAGTGATGTCAGTTTTTCTTTTAGAACTCAGGATGCGACTGGGCCTGAACTGATACTGCCTGCCAGCATTGAATTCAGGGAAAGCTGTGAGTCATTTTAGATTCTACTACTAGTGAATAAGTTCATGTTCACTTTTCTTCAGATGACATTCCTACTTTCTGTTCACTTTTCTTCTTTTCTAAAATCTCTTTACAGCTGAAGATTCTTTTTTATCTGCCATTATAAACTATACCAATAGCTCCACAGTGCACTTTAAGCTGTCACCCACGTATGTGTTATACATGGCGTGCCGGTATGTATTGTCCAGCCAGCACAGGCCCGACATCAGCCCTACAGAGCGCACCCACAAGGCCATTGCTGTTGTCAACAAGATGGTGAGCATGATGGAAGGGGTCATTCAGGTGAGTGTCGGCCCGGCAAGCCTCTGGGGAATAGTGGCCATCTTGTTAGTTTCTGTGACATTCCTGGTTTGGTTACAAGTTTGCCTTTATAGCCTAGGATTCTTTTTTTTTTTTATTTTTTTTTTTTAATAAAATGCATAGCTTTTAAAGTCAAAAAAATAAAAACTTTTAAAAAATTTCTTTTCTGGAAATTGTAGAGTAAATGAGAATAAACTGTATATATTGTAACACAGTCATTTTAAAATTAGCCACTGCGAGAAAGTGCTGAGGTGATAGTTTCTTTGAATTTTCTTTAAATTATTGAAATGAAATTCACACAGTGTATGTGTGCAGCTCTACCTTGAGAATGTTTCTTCAGTGCCAAAGAGATAGCCATCCTCCCTCCACAGGCCCTGGTGTCTGCGATTGTCAGGTGCTTGCTTCTTTCTGAGGAGCCTATTGTGGGGTGGAGAGTGTATGTAGTTTTGACAGTATAGATAGATGTAGGCTTGATGGGTTTGAGGACAAACTTCTCACTTAAGACTGACTTCTTTCATGGCCCTGTTAAGAATTTCCTGTAGGTAGATGGTTTGGTTCTTTTAATACTCAAAATCCATCGTTGATAAAATTGGTACAGCTGTTTTTTTATATTTGCAGATAATTTGAGGATTTTATTATAAAGGTTATTGTAAGTCATTTACGGATTTTAAAGTTTTCCTAACTTAACCAATGCCTTTACTCAGCTAAGAAACTAGCTGCAGTGTTAAATACTTGGGTTAAATGGTTTGGTAATCAAAAAAAAAATCCTGGCAGTGTAATTTGAGGGAAACCGAGATGGTCTTCTAGTACTCTCAGGGTTGTTTTTAAAAGCCAAGAGTTTTCCACAAACATTTCTTTCACAGTTGAGTGATTAGCACAGTAGGAGTTTGGTGGGCTTGTTCAAGCTAAAGAACAGATAAGAAGGAAGGTCGTTTTACCTGGGCATTTTGTTATTCTGGTATCATCACTTTATACACAAACAAACAAGTGTCCTTTTCAGTTGTCATGCCAAGTCCTGTCTGTCTCTGCCATGTGTGGACTTAGAAGCCTGTCTCAGACTGTGGTACTTCAGCCACCAAACTGCCTTTGAGAATTTGTCCTCGCTGGTGTCTTGTGGTGAGGACTTTGACTACTGTCTAGAAAGGCTTTTAAACTTCAGAGTAGGCTCAGTGTAAAATTGGAGCACTCTTTGTTGGTGGGAAAGAATTACGACAGTAAATAATTTCAGCAAGTAATTTAAATTCTGTTTTCAAAATAGTATTCCCTTTAGTATAGCTGTAATATGAATTCTTATGTACTTTAAAACTTTCAGCTTTTATTTTGATTGTTTTTATTGGTCTTTTCATTCTCATTCTCATAATTAATTCAAGGGAATGGACTCCCTTACCTTTGAGTAGTAAGCCCACAGTATCATTTTTAAAAAGTGTTTGAAAGTCCTTCTGTTGCATATCTTTCAAATAAGTCAGTGTGTTCGTTTGTGTTTTATTATGACATCATCCTTATAAACTATACAACTCAGTTATGCAAATGTTAGGAACATGACACCAGCCATTTATGTCAGATAATCTGGGGATAACTAAATGTCGTGCCTCATGTCGTACCTTCATGTTAGTGTTTTGATTTTTTTAAACAGTCATGATTGTTTACAAGTTTCTTTCTCTCGTTCTGCTTGATTTCCCCTCGTCTGTTTTTCTCCAGGAAGTAGACCAGGTTGATCAGGTAGGACATGCTGCTGGGAGCTGATCCTAGCTGTGTTGGCTTAGCTGAGTTTCTCATGCTGCTTCCATTACAAATATGATCCTACAAAAACTGGACTGAGCAGTTCATAACCCTCATTCAGCAACTGAAACATGCAGTACTAAAATCCTTTTGACTGTGCAACTTTATCAGCATTTCATAATTTCTGCTTAATGCACTTCAGTATGATATGAAATGACAAAAGCTCTGTGCCTTCTCTATTATTTATCCTTGGTTCCTGTTCTTTGGATCTCATCTAAGGTTGCCTGGCCTGCAAATGTGGTCGGGAGAGGACGTGATAGATCAGTACTTGATACTGAGTTACATGGTGTCCAAGCCAGTGACTACAAGTATCAGGGTGGTTGTGGGTAACCATGGATACATGTGTGTATGCTACACAGATTACCAGATAATGCACAATCTACAATTTGGTTTGGTAATACACAATATCTCCATTTTCTACTGATTCTGCAAATTACATCTCATTAGACCAATATGTCTGTGTACATGAATCTTGACATGTTGCAGTGGTTATTTACTTCCCATTGCTCTGCATGTACCTACATTTCTTTGCAAGTATCTGGTATCTGTGGTAAATACCTGGTGAAGATGGGAAGGTACTGGTCTATCTTCAGCTTTTCAGGAGCATTCCTATTTATTTCTAATGTCTTGCATTGTTAATGGAAGTGTTTTCTGTCCACAGAAACAAAAGAACATTGCAGGGGCACTTGCTTTCTGGATGGCAAATGCATCTGAACTTCTCAACTTCATCAAGCAGGACCGCGACCTTAGTCGGATCACACTAGATGCCCAGGATGTTTTAGCACACTTGGTTCAGATGGCATTTAAGTAAGAAGCACATTTGGAAAGAGTTAACTCACATGCTTCCTGTTCTGTTTACAAAACTAATACTAAAGATTTGTATTTAACCTAATTGAAGATGCTTACCAAGAAGCTTGGGAAAATGTGCTGACTTGAGAGCACTGCACTCTGGGCTCCATTTCTGTGTTCCAGAGTTCGATTTTTTGTTACTTTTAGTGGAAACTATTCTTAAAGAACATAGAAGTCTAACATTATCTGTGCAACTTGCTAAGGTGACTAAAATCTTGTATTTTCAGGTACTTGGTTCACTGTCTCCAGTCAGAACTTAATAACTACATGCCAGCCTTTCTGGATGATCCTGAGGAGAACAGTCTGCAAAGACCAAAAATAGGTTAGGGTCTTATGTACCTTCCTCTAACATTTAACTTGACTTAACTTGGTATCTTTTTGTTTTGTTTTTAAGATTTATTTTTACTTTTTAATCTTTAAGTACATGGATATTTTGCCTGATTATGTTTGTGTGCCATATATGAGCTAGAGTCCAGAGAGGGTGTTAGGTCCCTTGGGACTGAATATCAGACTGTTGTGAGCCACCACGTGGGTGCTGGGAATCAAGGGAATAATACACTTGGGTCCTCTGGAAGAGCAGCCAGTGCTCTTAACCACTGAGCCATCTCTCCAGCCCCTTGTTTTGTTTATTTTTTGATGCCACTGACCTTGGTCTGGGTTATAGGCCCAACAAGCTTCTGCTGTGCCACTCTGCCAAGGACCTATGTTTTAATTTTTGATTTTTTTATGTATATGAACTTGGACTGCATGTATGTGTGTGTATAGTACCCACAGAGGCCTGAAACTAGAGGGATTCCCTGGAACTAGAGTTACAGATGGCTGTTAAATGCCATGTAGGGTGCTGGGAACTGAACCTGAGATCTTCTGCAAGTGCAAGTACTCTTAACTTCTGAGCTACCTCTCCAGCCCTTCAGCCCTTAATGTTGTAAGGGGTGTGTTTTTTTTTAAGATTTATTTTTATTTCTGTTTTGTGTTTGTATGAGTGCATGCTGTGGGTGCCAGTGCCCAAGGAGGCCAGAAGAGGGCATTAGAGCCCCTTGAGTTGGGGTACATGCAGCTGGGAAATGAACCTGTGTCTCCCAGAAGATGAGCAAGTGTTCTTAACCATGGAACCATCTTCCAGCCCTGGGGTGGTTTCTTAAATGTTTTTTTGGATTCGGTGGTCTTTGAAATAACTTCTAAGGAACTGTCTGTTAGATTTATGAGTAATTTTCACTTTTGCTTTGCTATGTTGGTAATACATAAAAGGTCTTTAAAAGTCTTCTAGTTAATTTATATGTGAATTGTGGTTAGTTAGTAACTGCATGTATTTGAAACCACATCCCTGCTTTCTGTTTGAATTTGGCATTTATAACTGGTTTGACAGCATTTGTTAATTGTCTAAAGTTGGTATAACTCAGAAGGTTCTGCAATGACATTTGGTCCCTGGGTTTCTGTTCCATGTCCTGAACAGATGATGTGCTGCATACACTCACAGGAGCCATGTCCTTGCTGAGGCGCTGCAGAGTCAATGCTGCCTTGACCATCCAGCTATTCTCTCAGCTTTTCCATTTTATCAATATGTGGCTGTTCAACAGATTGGTGACTGACCCAGATTCAGGCCTGTGTTCCCACTACTGGGGAGCAATTATCCGCCAGCAGCTAGGGCATATTGAAGCCTGGGCGGAGAAGCAGGGGCTCGAGCTGGCAGCTGACTGTCACTTGAGCAGGATTGTGCAGGTGTGTACTCCATTCTCTCATCTTCTCCCTCTTTCCTGTTAATGTATTTTGTGGTGAATTTCAGATTTTTTATGGTGGGTAAGAACTTGGGTTCATTAAAGCCTCAGTCTTTTTCTCATTTCACATAGTCAAGCAGTGATGTGGCAGCATCTAGACTGCTGTAACAAAGCAGCTAAAACTAAATGTCTTAGCAGACATTTATTGTCTCCCGCTTCTGGAAATTAGAGGTTGAAATCAAGGTGCTAGCCATGGGAGTATCTTTTGAGGGAGTATAAATCTGTTCTACCAACCTCTGGTAGTTCACACCCAACATAGGCATTCGTTGGACAGTCGTTGCCGTAGTCTTTCCGTGGCATTCTTGGATACGTGTCTGTCCAGGTGTCTGGTTTGTACAAGGGCACCAGTGACCTGGCCTCCTTTTTAACTAACGATCTATAAACAAGGTTCCTTCTTGTAATACTCGGGCCTCCAACATTAGAATTTCTCATTGTTCACCCTATAACAAGATGTATAAACAGTAGGATAGAAATATCATTGAACCGTTCTTTTTGTTGAGACCAGCAAGATATACTTTAGAAAGCTATATACTGAAGGATAAATGATAATTAGTTGCCAAGTCATATTCTGCTATCTGAACAGCTCTCAGGGAGAGCTTTAGATACCAAAGACTAGGAACTGGTGTTTATAATTAAGAAAATGAGTTATATGCAACCTCAAAACATACAATTAAAATTTTTTCTAATATATTAGCTTTTGTTTTTTATGCCTTCATTTCCTCCAAAGATATTAATTATTCTGAGAAGCTAGTTAGCCCTCAACTCTTATCAAAATTCATATCAGCAAGACTCTCTGATTCCTATAACTGATCATCTGGATTGCTGTATAAATATTCAAACTTTCAAAGCGACCTTTAAAAGTGCATTATAAACATCGATACTTGAATCAAATTATGTTAAAACATAAAAACTAAAGTAAACCCAAGAGGCTTTTAAAAAGCCCACAAAAGTATGCTTGTAGTTTAATATATGCTACTAAATGTTAATGCCTCTTTACAAGCATCCTGCACTTCAAAACCAAATTAGCAAGTTATTAGCTTAACAACTGTTACCAAAGGGTGTTTTGTTTTGTGTTTTGTGGTGCTGAGGATTTAAACCCAGTGCCTCACATGTGATACTGAGTATGGGCTCTTCCATTAACCTGCACTCTCAGCCCCAAAGAAAAAATATTTTTAGTATCTTACTTAATAATATTTGTTCTTTTAAATAGGCTACTACTTTGCTTACCATGGATAAGTATGTACCCGATGACATTCCAAATATAAACAGCACATGCTTTAAGTTAAATTCTCTACAACTTCAAGCCTTATTACAAAATTACCACTGTGCACCTGATGAGCCTTTTATTCCCCCGGTAAGTGAATATTACCATGATACCATGAAGAATTTTCATGTCTGCACAGGAAAATTGGGATGAAGGGGGGAAGTAAAGGGAAACTCTCTCAGTGATGTGTCAGTAACTTGGCTCACCTAAAGTGATCTTAAGAGGTCATTTTACTCTGAAGTCTTAGCTGCGCGGTGCAAAGAATATAGATTATATAAGCATTTTAAGAAAGAAATGATTTAATTCAAGGCATTGCTTCTTGGGAAATCTTTGAAAAGACTAGAGGAAAGGAAGTTGAGTTGAAGTTTATACCACCATGCTTAAATACCAGAGAGCCAGAGCTTCAATTAAAGCTACAAGGATACTTTTCATATATCATATGTATACTCCTGCCACCAGCATCAGCATGAATCTTCACTCCATAGCAGCCTTCTAGATTCCATACATCAGTGTCTGATTGGTAACAACCACCGTCTACCCAAAGGACAGTCTAGACTTTTATGTGTACTGATCTCACGCTGTAATAGGACTTGAGGGTAAAAAGCCCATCCATCTGTAATATCTGTCCCCATTGACTGTTTATATAGAAAGCTGTGCCACAGATACTACCATCTTAAGTCAATACCTGAGAGAAACAGTTTGAAAGAAAAGATTTGGGCTCAAGGTTTCTGAGATTCAGTCCATGATCAACTGGTTTCATGACTATGGGCTGTAGTAAGGCAGAACATGATTGCACAGAGGCGCTGTGAAGGAAAGCTGCTTATATCCTGCAGCCAGGAAACAGAACCTGTGGAGCTCTGTCCTTTGGTCATGACATGGTGTTGTCATCTTAAAATCAGAGCAACTGATAACTCACACTAGACCCTCAAGACACAGGATTGAGCCCACTAACATTTTCTAGTGGAATTGGGGAGGACTCACAGGACCCCTGTCCACCTGAAGATTCTATAAGCAGGTAGCAGTTGCTGGGAATTGAGACACTCCTCTCTGGTGGTATACCTGCCTGTAAACTGCCCATGTTCCTTTTATTGGGTAATCCCATTAAATGTTTACCACGGCAGACTTGGGTGGAGTCATTTCTGACCTGTTCTTACTCTCTCTGTACAGGGTAAGTATATATGGACTCCTCAGGGGGGAAAAATTATTCAAAGACAGGAAGGGGCCATGGCAAGATAAAATCTTTAAAGATTGACAACTTTCCCAGTGACCTTTTTCCAATTAGACCCAATTTTCCCTGGTTCCACCACTTCACGATGTAATCTATTCAGATTTTGAATTTACCAACTATTAATTCATTGACAAAGACAGGAGCCCTTTTGACCTGATCACTTCCCCAAAACCTCACTTCTAAACGCAGGGGTAGCATGCCCTCAGTACATAAGCCTTAGGGGGTGCCTCAGATCCAAACCACACCGTCTGCCATCCGAGCCAGTCGTGCCTAGATTGTGCTAGTTGATGGATAAATGAAGTTCAGTATTGAGTTTATATCCATAAAAGACAGGTACAAAATAGCCAAACAGTGAAAACAATCCAGTTAGCAATATAGTGCACCAGAAAATCATGGTACAGGGATGTGAAGGAATGTTTTGCTACAGTGAAGAAGGAGTTGTGATTGCCACCACAATGTGTGTGGATGTTATGCTGCATTTGTTGTAAAAGAAAGTGTATGTGAGTGCACAATATATGCAGTGGCTTTCAGCCATTTAACTTAAGAACAGAGAGAACTCTGTCCCATCACAAGCCTGGGTAGTTGTTCCCGGTGTGGAAAAGGAAGATGGTGGTAGAGCCCAGGGCTGCTTCTGAGGGCTGCTGTGCTCCTGTTACTGGAGCTGTGGGGATGAGCTGGGGTCTTCATTTTAATAAGTCACACCCTGAGGCGTGTGAACTTGACCTTTGCCTTCTTTCTCGCCACTCCTCATCCCCAGGTGTGCGTGTGTTTGTGTCTCAGTAACGCATTTTGTAATGTAAGCCATCCATGGACCCCCAGTTCTGCAGCTCTCCTAGTGAGACTTCTAAGCATAGATATTTTATCCTGTGGGTTTTTGTTTGTTATTGTTTTTTAATGTTCATTTTGTGAGGTTTTCTCTATGGAATTGCATGTTCTATAAAAATAATTACTCACAACTTAATAACATTGTGTTAAAGAATTGTACAAGTGAATCAACTGCATTGAATAAGAGAAGAACATCTTTTTGTTTGTTTGTTTTGTTTTGTTTCATTTTGAGACAGTTTCTCTATGTAGCCCTGGCTGTCCTGGAACTCACTCTATAGATCACCCTGGCCTTGAACTCCTGCCTCTGCCTCCCGAGTGCTGGGATTAAAGGTGTGTGCACCACCACTGCCCAGCGAGAACATCTTGTGGTAAAACAGCGTTTTAAAGCCATGAGTAGTAGGGAGTTAATCAGCCTCTTGTTCTCTCGTTAAGTAGTGTGTGTCTGGTGTGTGGACACTTTATTAAGCCAGCTCTGTATGTCCTGTTGAGTGTGCTCTACCCTGAAGTCATGTCTGTGACATAGCAAGTGCTTCCCGTCAGTGAGCATCTCTTAATGCGTCAGCATTTGTTTTCTGCAGGATCTCATAAAAAATGTTGTGGCCGTTGCTGAGAACACAGCTGATGAGCTCGCCCGCAGTGATGGCCGAGATGTGCAGTTGGAGGAGGACCCTGACCTACAGCTACCTTTTCTTTTGCCAGAAGATGGCTATTCCTGTGATGTCGTCAGAAACATTCCTAATGGTTTACAAGAATTTTTAGACCCTCTGTGCCAGAGAGGTAAATACCAGTCACACCTCAGTTGGAGGACGCAGCTAGCTGGGTTCAAGTGAGCGTTGCACTGGCTCCCTGATGACAGCCCCGAGGAAGCTGTGTTCCCGTGACTCAAAGAGTTTCACTGAGATGAAAGATCTCACATGCCCAGACCAGCCTGTGTGGGTGTGCTGTGTCCCTCGATGGAGCACCTGCTCCTCCTACACGGTGCCGGAACAAGGGACCTTTGTATCCCTTCCTCCTGCCAGTGGAGAGCAGCACAGGCAGGCCCCTGGGTTCCAAGTGATCCTAGCCCACTGCCACCCAGCTGTGCTGTCATGGGCAGGGCACCCCTGGCTTCTGTTCCTTCCTCATAAAGTAGGCCAAGAGGAATGAAAATGGACGATTGCTGTAGGGGAGGCTCTGTGAGTGCCCCGTGTCCTGTGACAGCTTCTGGGGCTACCATCAGGTAGACTTGTAGCTGTCTCCAGCTTTTCCCTGACTGCTTCTGTGACCTTTGATAGACTGTTTTGCTGGTGTATAACAATTTTTTAAAAATCAGTTTTTTTCTTAAAGTATGGGCTTTGAGGCAATACAGATTTTAATCTACTCTGCCACATTTTTTATGATGTAAAGAATAACAGATGAGTAGGAAAGTAGACCCAAAGTATAGGGGTTCAATTAAATAACAATAATAATAACAAATAATAGGGAAGGTACTGCAGCCATAGATAAATGAGTGAGTGTGATTTTTATTTTTTAAACTTCGGTGACTGTTTCACTCACCACAATAAATAAATTTTAGATCTTCAAAAGTATAGTGGGAAAAAATGCATTACATTGAAAGACTGCCTCTTCTCATGAACTGTGTTGGTGGCAAAGCAGTTTGTGCGTTAGTTCTCCCAGCAGGTCTCCTGTTCTCAGAGACACGAAGTCCAAGGTAGGGAAGCAGAGGTTTGGTCGTTCAGGAAAACTGTGTGTGAAGTCTGAAGGAGAGTGAACAGGTTTCAGCCCGAAAAGCCCTCATTCATGCCTGGCACAGGTCGTCCTGTGACCAGATAAGGAAGATGAGCCTGACTGCAATAGTTCTGAACATTCTAGGCATCCCTGTTTAATGGAAGAACTCAGACCTGTGGAATTCAAGCCCCTGGTCACAGCATGGGGAACACAGTAAAGCGACTTCACTACTTGCTCTAGAGCTTTTTAAAGGTGTCTCTATGTGCACATCTTAGTAGATCAGGTCTAAACCATGGCCTTTAAGCAATAGACACATTATCCCCAGGAGTAAGTCTCCTGTATTATTCTGTTGATAGGCTGTTTAGCTGCTTTTGAGAGATACCATGTTTCTAGAGTTGCTTCCAGAGGCTTTCCATCAAGACCATGTATGGAGCCAGTGCCTAGGTTGCTAGTTCATCGTAAAGGAGTGTGAGCATTGTGCCTTCCCAGTGAAGGTATGTGTGAGTGTTGCATCTTCTCACTTCCAAAGGAGGGTATGAGTGTTCTCTTCCCAGTGGTGGTGTGAGTACCCTGTCTTCCCAGTGAGGATGAATGCCCTGTCTTCATAGAGCTGAGTTACTGTGGCTTTGGTTTGGCTGGCTTCCTCACTCCTGTTATACTCACTTAGGCATGCTTCATGCTGACACTCAGGAATGTGTTAATGAATATCTTGTAAATAAGTAAGCTAGGAGACTAATCTGCTCCAACTTTGCAAATGGACATAATTTATAGTGTGCCAGTTTTGTCTTGTGCACCATAGGTATTTGCCAGCATGGAAACAGTGAGGTCTTAACTTGACAAAGAGTTTCCTTCGTATCTTCCCCTAGGCTCTCTAGGATAAGTAATCTTAGGCCATTTGTTATTTAATTCTGGTCTTGGCATCCATACATTATTTCATACATGTTGGATGTTTATAGTTCATACAGTCTAGCATATAGATGCCTTTAAAGGTGTAAAATGGATTAAATGTTACGACATCAGTGTTTCTTAATTCCTCACACTCTATTCTTTATAAACTGATTAAAGAACTACTGTGTACTCTCAGCATCCTGCCTTTTCCTGCCTCAATGCAGTGCAGTTCTGTGAGAGACTATAAAACCAGCCCAGACCAATGCCTGGGTTGTGATGAGTACCTCAAGCTATGACAAATCAGTTTCCATTAGCGGTGTAGTACAGAGCTTGTTGTGGAAATCTGACATTTGAAAACATGAAACATTGTTTACAGTTGTTGAAATTTCACATTTTTATTAGAGTTATAATTCTCTAAAACACGAAGAAAAGCAAATTCTGGTTAACTATCAATGAAACTAGGTCGAAACATTTTTTCAAGTGAAATTAAGTTGTATTTTTTATTTTAACTGATGTTCTTTATATTTCCCCTTCCCTCCCGCACAAATACATGTCTGATAATAGCAATCCAAATTATACTCCATTGGTAAAACACTAGACCAGGGAAGACTGGCTAGGGCAGCTGGGCTCCAGACATGCAGCCGTCCACATGGTGAGCTCTTGAGCAACAGTAGCCCTGGAGCAAACTTCAGAATTATGGAAAGCCTGTGTAATACTATTTTGTCAAAAAGAACTGAGGAATATAAAATAAAATTTGACTAAATTAAGATGACATGGCTTTGAATAAAGGCCTTGGTATTTTAAATACGTTCTCTATCCTGAATAAGGACATCAGGAATACTTTGGTGGGAGTATCAAGGATCCATCTAAGGGCCTTGCACATAATATGCAAAGTGCTCTACACTCAGATGTAACAGAAGAAAAACTAAGGCAGGGTGATCATGAGTTTGAGGCCAGTCTAGGCTACAAAGGAAGTTCAAAGCTCCTGCCTCAGAAAACAACAAAACAGAACTATTCTTTAAAACTTTAAATGCGTATGAGCTGAGGAAATTTGGACAAAATGTGAGAAAGGACCCTCCCAACCCGAGGGTGTACAAGTTAAATGATCTATAGTGTAAGTTATTTAACCCAGTCTGGGGTAGTAGGTTGATAGCAGTTCACCAATTTTCATAGAAAAAAGAAAAACAGTTTAAATCAATAATCTGTCTTGTCTCCCTTGTTGAAAATTGTATGGGATTAACTGTGTCTTATCTGTTTTATAACTACTGTTTTCTTTGTAGGATTTTGCAGGTTGATTCCTCATACACGTTCACCAGGTACTTGGACGATATATTTTGAAGGTGCAGATTATGAAAGTCACCTTATGCGTGAGAACACAGAACTGGCAAGTATTTGAGGTTGGGATAGATTAAAGTATGAGATGTTCCTAATGACTTTGGAGGGGTGATATGATTTATTCTTTGCATACATGGAATGTTGTGATGGAAATTTTTGAAATGATTTTTTTAATACCAATTTGATTCAAACATTTTAAAACCTTGATTCGTAAAATCACATGTATTTTACTCCCTGAGCCAGGTCTGTACAGTTTTGTGTAGTACTAAATGGTTCTGTAGCAATAGAATATTTATGATCACAGTTATGGCAGCCTACATACATATTTTTGAAACATATTAGTATAATAACTTTGAAAGATTTTATTAGAAAAATATTTTTAGTGGCAAAAACATTTTATTCTTTTCTACTGATTTCTACTTAAATGTGTATCAAATAACTCATAATTTTGAAATAGTAAGGAATTTCATTCATCTTAAGGAAAATTATACTTTGCTTCAAATACAGTTTCAACAGATACTTTTTTATATAGTATATATATATATATTTATATAAAATTTTAAATTTAAATATGTATCAGAGTCATCTCCTAAAATTGAATTGATAGTTGTCATTATACCAAATATATGGGCTCACTACTAACAAAGTAACTGATTCTTTTTATTGACTTCCTTTGTTTGTTTTTGGTCAAATTTAAAGTAACAGTGTCAACTTCTGATGACCAGATTTTATAGGAAATCAAGTATTTCTTGGATTCATTAATTGTTCATCTTTCAGATTTATTTTCAGATTCCTTAGGAGCTAGATCTCCAGTCTTAATTTATATAAAACAAAAATTTTAATGTCACATAATTTTATTTTTTCCTTGATATTCTCTCCTGGGCTTTATAGTTAGTTGCTTTCTGTTTAATCACTATTAAGTTTTCTCTCAGTGTGCATTCAGTGTGCATTCTGTTGTAACCTTGCTCACACTTTGGTGTGAAGTTTGGCGTGAGTGTAAGATGTGACTTAAATAATGCTTTCCTTAAAAAAATGCTGGTGGTGGCACACGCCTTTAATCCCAGCACTCGGGAGGCAGAGCCAGGTGAATCTCTGTGAGTTCGGGGCCAGCCTGGCTACAGAGTGAGATCCAGAACAGACAGACACCAAAACTACACAGGGAAACAAACAAACAAAAAAAACGACTGCCTTCGAGTCTGTCCATGCCCTGGCTGCCTCCTTTGCTTGACTGTATTCAGTCCCTTTGCATTTCTTGATAGAGCACTGGGAATACTGCTGATGTATCCTGTAGTTCTTTATGTTCACCATTTTAAATAAAATGTGCAGTTTCTCAAGAGAGGAAGAAAATAGTTCATCTCTGCTATTTTCCCAGACAGTGTGAAATAATTTTAAACTTTTTCTTTGGAAAACGAAATAAAAGGTTAACAGTTTATTTTAAAAGATCATAAAGGTAAAAATTAGGTTTTGTTTTTATGGTTGTGTTTTCTAACCTGATAGAAATGTAAGCTTAATTTTGTTTCGTAAATTAAATTCTTAATATTTAAATGGCATTTCATCTTAGAGACTTTAGTCAAATGATGCAGTGTTTTGTTTAGCAAATGAAAAGTACCTGAGGTAGTGGACTTTTTATAACCTTTTTGTTCTCTGTTTATTACAGATTAACTAGCTTTCTAACCATGTGAAAGCACTTCCATTTTAGTCATAAAATGAGCCTCTTTTCTCATCTTTAGGCCCAGCCTCTGAGGAAGGAACCTGAGATAATCACTGTGACCCTAAAAAAGCAGAATGGAATGGGCCTCAGCATTGTTGCAGCAAAGGTAAGACTGAGGGAGCCCCTGGAGAGCGTCTTCTCCCATCCATGACTGTGAGTCAGCATGGACCAGAAGTGATTGATGGAGCTTTGTTGCCCTGCAGAGTGCATGTTCAGCTTTGCTCCTGGGAAAAGGGAACATGCTGCCTGAGGGATGAGCTCCTTCTCTGAGAATGTGGCTAGAGGGAATGGTACCTTGAGATGGAATAGATGCTCAGAGGAAGCTGTGACACGAATCTTAAAAGGTCTTATTAATAAAAAACCCAGAGCCAGATATTGAAGTAAAAGCTGAAAGATCAGGATAGAACAAGCCACTGCCACCAGCTATTACCTCACCAACTCCACGAATCCTCTGACTGAAATCCTCAGCCTCCAGAGAGAGCTTCCTGCATACTCACGCCTATATGCCTTTCTGTGTCCTGCCATCTCACTTCCTCTCTCCACCCAGCTACATCACTTCCCCTTTTTGCCCAGCTCTATCACTTCCTGTCTGCCTGTACAGACCTCCAGACCTCTATGGTTAACTAGTGCTGGGAGTAAAGGCGTGTGCCACCATGCCTGGCTCTGTTCCCAGTGTGGCCTTGAACTCACAGAGATCCAGATGAATCTCTGCTTCCCGAATGCTAGGAATAAAGGCGTGTGCTACCACTGCCTGGCTTCTATGTTTAATATAGTGGCTGGCTCTGTCCTCTGATCCCCAGATAAGCTTTATTTGTTAGAGCACAAATAAAATATCACCACAGGAAGCAGTTTAAAGGATAGTCAAGACTTGTTGGGTACCGTGGGAAGAGCCAGTATGGCACAAGAGAAATAGTTGCATCTTTCACTTTGTCATAGCAGGTATCAGATCTTTTCAGCCTTCAGTGAAGGCAGTTGTGGGGACCTAATAACACAACCATTCTAATCTCTAGGTCTTCTCTACTGGAGGGTGGATTGGAGCTTAGCTTATATGTACATATCCATCTGAGGTGTTGACAGCTCCCTCATCCTCCCTGTTCTCTTGGCATCTAAGTCCTATTAGTCTGTTAAAGGACAATTTTTTTCTTTCAGTTAAAAGAAAGTAATAGTATGACTAGAAGTTATTATCTTAAAAAAAAAAGCTTCCACAATCATAGTCAAGTATTCTCAGTGGAACAAATGGTTTTTTTTTTTTTAATGAAAATTTTAAGTTAGCATACAAAATAATGGGTTTGGTAAGTATGTCGCTATATTTGGTTCCAAGTCATCCCCCCACCCCCACCCCATTGCTGATTTCTTGTGCCTTCACCCCACTCTGACTGATTCTCTTCCCCAAGTCTCCCTTAGCTTTCATATGCTATCACCTTCTCTTTTCCAAATATTATTTTTAGCTAGTATATAATGACATGCTTTGTTAAGCTTTGGTAATATTTTGCCCGAAATAATACTGATAGCTGAAATTGTTGGCCTGTGTCCTGTTTTAAGAGACTATGTGAAAAGCTTGGAAACACCATATAGCATTATAAAAGAAGAGCATTCCAAATTGCATGATACCAGTGTATTCTGAGAAATATTTTAAAAAGTAACAGTAAATTTTGTACATCAGAATTCTGTTACACTGAATATTAATTAGAAATTGATATTTGAAACCACATTATTCCCATTGTGGTGTTTTAAAGGTTGCATTAAGTCCCTTCTCCTTGCCCACTGATTTACATACGGTGCACATGACATGAAGTATAGGGTCCGACTATGATGTCAGCATTGCCCCATGTAAAATAATGAGGAATTCGCCAAAGTTATGGCTCTTGACTGGGAGCAGATTGTTAGTACACAGGCCTTTCTAATATGGGATTCTTGTGTGTATCATTCCTTCTTGGATCTTTGCCCTTCACGCTCATTTTCAAAACTAGACATTAGGGCACATGCCTGTAAGCCCAGCGTTCAGCAGGCAGAGGCAGGAAGGTGGAGTTCTAGACCAGCCTGGGATGCATAGTGCAATCCTGTTTCAAAAAACAAAACAAAGCAAAAAACCTAAAACACAATGTTTATGGGACCTACCTTGCTAGCATTTTCCTAGCAGCTCACCGGTCCTGTGCTGCTTGTCCTTGAGCCAAGGCAGATCCATCTGTGATTTCTTTTCTGGTACTTCACAGAAGAGGAGTTTGATCCTTAGGAGTTTTGGCTGTCATTGTCTCTATTAGCCAACCAACGTTTTTCTCTCTAGTGGTGGTTGGTGTTCCCTAAGTCAGCCCGCGGGTTGTGACAGACAAAAGTAAGAGCTCGTTGTTTGTTTGTTTGTTTGTTCTTTTAAAGCATGTGTGTTCTAGTTCCCTTTCTGTCACTGTGATAAACACTGTGACCAACGCCAACTTGCAGCAGTTTATTTCGTCTTAAGGTTGCAGTCTATCATCAAGGGAAGCCAGGGTGGGAACCATGGAGGACCACTGCTTAGTGCCTTCCTCTCAATGCTTGCTCAGTTTGTTTTCTACGAACCCAGGACTACCTGCCTGGGCTGGTTCTGCCCACGGTGGACTGGGGCTCTCCTACAGTAACCAAGAAAATCCCCCACAGACATACCTACACTCCAGTCTCATAAAGACAATTCCTGAATTGAAGTTCCCTTTTTCCAAATGACTAGTTTGTGTCAAGTTGATAAAAACTAACCAACAAAATGAGTCATTCGTTTATTTAATGAATTAATTTGTCAGTACACTAAATTGTCAACCGTGAAACTATATTTGAGCTTTTTAACAGTTAAGAAATAAGTAGATTAATGCGCATGAAAGTAGTCATCTAAGCAATTGTGGGATTTTAGCTGGTCCTTGGAATTAAGAAATTAGAAAAATGGCCCAACAGAGAGATGTTTGAGCAGCCTGCATCTGCAAGGAGAGCCAGAGGTGGTGGGGAGAGCTGTGCTTTACAGTGTGAAGAGTTGTGGGCTGAGTGATGGAGGAGTCTTGTTGCCTTGTTGGCAACAACAAAATGAAGGATTGGAAGGAGGAAAAGGCAGTGGTGTCTGAGACTGCGGCATGGCTGAGCAGAAGGGCCTGGAACTGTGGACAAGGCTGTTCAGGACAGACTGGAGGAACCTGTGTGTGTACCCACCACAGGTCCCTGAAGCTCAGGGTCTGTGGAATCACCTGTGATGGGCAGAGCAAAGATCCTGAGCCTCTGACCCTACTTTACTGTTCATCTCATGTGGCCCAGATCATACAGCACACTTCTAGACCCAAGGTCAGAACATTAGGAAACATGAAAATGTCAGCTATGGAACCATTTTCTTTCTTGGATATAGCTGAATAACTGCCCATTTCTAGAGGGGAAACAGAAGTTCAGAGATCAGTCTGCCACACTCATACACAGGGAGGATTTAACTCCTGGGGTGAGTGTAGCTTAGTGGTGAAATATCTGCCCAGCATTTACGAAGCTCTGCACTGGCTCTTGTGTGCTGCAAAGGAAAACAACGAAACAAAGAAAGCTTAAGTTCTGTGTTACGTTGTGGACACAAGCTTTCTCTCTAATACTGATCTTACTGGAGAGTGACCATTATCAGAGTTAGTTATTTCCAGTGCAGATTGACTTGTTTTCTCTAGACTCCAGTATGACTTAGGTTTTGATTTCCCTGGTATGGTGTCCTGATGCAAAGGTCCTAGTATTTCATAATAGTAGGCTCAGGCTTCATCTTGTATCCTTGCCCAGTCTTGTATCCTCTGCCAGGTATCAGGTAGAGAAACAGGACATCAAGCCAAGCTGAAAGTCATAATCCAGCCTATGTTCCCTTAAACTTCATTTACATGAACAGGTCTTGACTTATTGGTGCAGCCTTGTAAAGGTGGGTCTTGGCAGAATTTTTTTTTTATACTTTAGGTGTAATATGATCACTGTTCTGCTGTGTGGAGTGGGGGTCGTAGGCTTTGATGGTTAATCTTTATTGTCACCTTGACTGGATTTAGAATCATGGGGAGACACCTGGATACCTTTGTGTTTCCAGAGAGATTTAACTGAGAAGGGAAGACCCACCTCTGTGGCTGCATCATCCCATTGAGTGGGTTCCTAGACTATACAAAAAAGGAAAAAGAAGAAATGAGTTGAGCATCAGCATTTATCTCTCTTTGCTTCTTAAGGGTAGATATAGTGTGACCAACCATCTCATACTCTCACTGCCATACCCTCTCAACCATGTGGATTTAATCCCCTCAAACCATGAGACACAAACAAACCAAAAACTTATCTTTAGGTTGCTTTTACCAGCTACTTTTATTATGGCAGGAGAAAAGTAACTAATTGACAGGTTTTCTGGACTCATCTCCCAGGGAAAGGTCCTAGTAGCTGGGGTGACAGAAGGCAGCCACTAACAGAAATAGAGGTACACTGAGGCCAGACCCCTGTAAGGGAACTTGTTTCCCTCCTGCCTTGTTGAGGGGTTGGTAGTCTCTGGGCCATGGTCAGTGCTGGCAGATACTTGTTGGATAACAGTGTTCAGATGGGATGAGCCAAGTGTAACGGGTCAAAGGGGGAATACAGGAAGGAATCCTGGTTCAGACTTGAGCAGCAGGGGCCTGTAGGCAGGACTGCCAAGGAAAGGAACCTGCAGAAGTTGGTGGAAGGGAGATTGTGAGTTCAGGAATGAACATGTCACACTTGAAGTTTGGGAGCCTGGTTAGGTAAATGAATGGGTTTTCTAGCAGTGGCTTGGATAATGGAGCTCAAAGAGTTAGAGCCAAAGGGGCCAGGAGTGGTGGTGCACGGGTGTGGTGGTGCATGGCTTTAACCCCAGTGCTTGGAAGACAGAGGCATGGGAATCTCTTGAGTTTGAGGCCAGCCGGGTCTACAGAGTGAGTTCCAGGACAGCCAAGGTTACACAGAGAAACCCTGTCTTGAAACACAAACAAAAAGTTAGAGCCAGAGAAGAAACTTAGGAATTGATATATGGGCACTCTGAAGGAAATAATTTAAAAAATTCTCTGTCAACTAGACAGTGCCATTTTAATATATGAAATAGTAGTATATTAGCACTTTTTTTTTGAATGAAACAGATGAGTAGCT